AAGTGCAACTGCTTTTGAAATACCTGGCATACGTTCTCAGCGGCGCACGCCCACAAAACCACACACGTTCCCAAGCATTCACGACACAGCAGGAGCACTGGCCACTTGTGGCCCTTTGTGGCACAAACACGCAGAAATAAACAAAACGTGCTGCAGAAAGTGTGTCATTACTACCGCCTTCTCATGTGTGTGTTATCAGTGTGGCTGCCTTTTTTCTTTTTTCTTTTTTTTTAGTTCTTGGTCACAGCAGTGTCAGCCTTGCTTACAGTATGTGCTGGTTCCATGGCCATGTTTCTGTCTGTTTGAAAGATATAGCAGCTCTGAGAATCTAAAACAGGAGCGTGAGCCGCTCGTCTGGACCGTGCACGACTTATTTTTGCAGCGGTTTACAAAATGAGTCATAAACACTGATAAGAGCTCAGGAAAAGAGGTTCTTGAAGTGAGAGAAAGGCCATTCCCCCCTGCATGAACTTGCGACTAAAGACCTGAAGAAAACTGTGTGTGTGTGTGTCTGTGTGTGTGTGTGCATAAGCCTACAGGTGCGTGCGTGCCAGTAAGAAAGAGGCCAGTGCTGACTCAAGAAGTGAAGGTGAGGAATAGTAAGACAGTGCAAAGTGCAAAGATACTCTGTGAGTTTATTCCCAGTTTTGTTTGCTATGACTGGGACTAACAATGCATCCTGCCGGCGCGTTTGAAGATGAAGGATGCCGATTTATAAAGGTGCACCATGAGCTGCTCAAACATTAACCAGACCTGCAGTCATGCCTGAAAGGTACCAACCGAACGTGACAACAAGGACACATCATGACGAAAGGCCTGCGGAACATCTCTGTTTTCTGACTGCCTTCGTGCTTTTTGAAATAAAAGCATTATTTCAATGTACAAACAAAGGTGGAGCAATACATGTCTGACTGGTAAGATTACAGCTATGTGCAGGATGACTGCAGACACTTCTAAACACAGAAACAAACAAAGCAACAATAATCTCGAAGGAAATATATTGTATATTATACAGTCAGACATCATTAGTCTTTAGGTCCTTTTATTTTTTTCTTGTTGATAGTTTTATGACGTATTAGAACTGCTTTTTCTTGAAGCCGAACTGCCCGTGTTTTTCTCCTTCTCTTTGTAAAATGGTTGAAAGCTGATGCACAGTGGTTGGCAACAACCTCTTTTTTCTTTTCGATCCTTGTTGCTATCAAACTCCACTTTATTTCTTCTGGTATTATCTGAAACCTCATTAAGGTTTGGGAAGTAATCCACAAAACTAAGAAAAACACACCACTGAACCTCAGTATGGGCACAGCTGCTTTTAAGTGTTTACATATGTTTGCTTGAACATTTTGTTTGAGTTATTGTTCACATTTTCTCGGGGCATCTATTCAAGGCTTTTTTTTTTTTTTTGACGTAGGAATTTTTTACCCCTGACGGTTTCAAGTTGGAAACACACCCACATATCACAAGGCATGAAGACTCCTTAAAATATTTTTTTTTTCTATAGAAGTGGTTGTGGCTTTAAAACTCAATTATTTTAATGGGTATCAAATCAACCGTGTCAACTTTTCTGCGCTGCATGTTTGCTCCTGTCAGTCAGATGCCTCTGAAGAGCACCTGGGAGCGTTTGAGTGTACTCTGTGCTTTCTGCTGGTGATATAATGAGACGAAACAAGCAGCAGATCTTTTCAAATCATCCAGCTAATACTGGGCTCCTCATGTAAAAACAGGCATGGAGGAGTAACAGCAGCGAAGTTGGGAAGAATTTCAATCGCTTCCAAGTTACTGATATGTAACAGTATCAACGAACTCTGAATTTCCAAGTGGAAGAAAAAGTTTCTTCCTCTCTCAGCAGCTTTTTACATTCCCACTGGCCCAATAAGTGGTGCCTGGAAAAAAAAAAAAAACGAGACAATTGTCAAAATGCTCTGCTTGCCCACAGGCCATGGAAATGTCACTCTACTGCCCCTTTATTTGCTCTTTATTTGCTTCCCCCTCTCTCTCGCTTTTACGTCCGTCTCTTTCATTTTCACTATTGTCGTCCTGCTCCATCTCCAGCCCCTCCCTCCTGTCCCGGCCTCTCTCTGCGGCGCAGTGCCGGTCCTCTCATTCTGCATGCCTTCAAGCTGTCTTTCTAATCTTCCTGAATTATTCAAGACACTTTCACCTCTTTTGCTTTCACCCAACACGTCCAGGAAACCCGCACACAAACCTGAAAGTGGGCGACTGGAAGGATAAAAAATTACATTTATGGTTAATTTGCATGGAGAGAAGTCTCTGACTGCAGACCTTTCTCACCGTGCAGTGATTAAGTGAAACAATGTCACCTTTCTTACTATGGGAGTTGAGTGGGATTTCTGTGGAGGAGCTCATCATTTAGATTCTGAAGACTGCAGGAACATTCCGATTCAGACAGACCATGGTGCATTCATAATTTCCTCAGAGTTAAAACAACAGCTCCTTCTACCTTTGCTGCAAACTCAGATTAACACCTCGAAACTGAGACTGAAAAAGGTCTCTGTTGTGCCTGCGGTGCTGCCTATTGAACTCATTGCATTGGACGCTTTTCCTTTGCTGCGGACAGTCAATAACCTAAATGGATTGAGGTGCACAGTCAGGAGCACGAGTGTCCTTTAATATCCAGATAGAAGTAATCAGGAAAGTGCACTTCAAAACAAAAACGGAGACAGATCTGAGTGTTCAAATTTTTCTTTTTATGAATCCTTTTTCTTTTTTTTTTCGCAAGGATGAGGGAATATCGGTTGAGTCAGTGGCTCACATAGTGCCAGACCTTTTACTGCACACAGAAACACTCTTGTGATAACTACATCCTTGTGAGAGTCCAGTGACATTCAACAGTGCTGCCATGAAGGTGGTGTGCAACACAACACAACACACTCTCAGATGGCCGTCTGATCGCTAAACTTGTCCCGCTGTACACACTCATCCATCGAACACACCTCCCTCCACTGATTTCTTCTTCTCTTCAAGATATAGTGTTTGCTTTAGCTAACACACACACACACACACACACACTTACTTCCATATCCTACATGATGTAATGAAAACTAAATACCTTGCTGACAACATGATGGATGCAGTAAGCGACAGGCTTTTGTGGCTACGGTGTGAGATGTATTATATATGTGCAGGTCCGGTAAAAGCTAAAGTGTCAAGGATACTGGTTGAAGGAAACAATTCATTTGTATGAGTTCAGGAATTGAACCTACACAGGCTTTTCTTTTTTACTTTTCCAACAGCAAGTATGTATCAGTGATAATGGCTGATTATTCTATTGCTGGAGATTCTTAAATGTAATGAAGACATGGAGGGAGGATGGACCGTTTTATCTGCGCTTACAAAGACACAAATTACTTCCTATCTTTCTTTCCTTAGTGTTCTCTTTGTTAAAGGATTTACTTTTTCTTTTAAAATGCTACATACAACAAACAAATTTCTAATTTAATTTGAGTGGATAATATGGAGAGGGGGTCGGTCAGTAGGTTTGAATGCAGTCTGGCATTGGTTAACTGATAATAACCACAATTTAAAGGGTTAAAAATAACACCTTTATGCCTTGTGTTTATTGCTTTCTTTAACACATTATAAACCTCTCCAGAGCCACACAGTATAGTATGTAGATGTTTCCATAAAACTGCTTCTGTTGATTTAGCAACACATTCACATCTGCCAGTCAGAAAGTCTCAGAGCTTTAGAAACAGGCATCACCAGCAAACAAAAAACCTTTTAAACAGCTGCTACTTGTCAAAGTGGCTGACATGTGTCCTGACTGTCAAACAATATAGAGCCTCTTTCCCTGCAAGGACCTGCAGCAAAATGGAAAAAAAATAAGGGGACGGATGTGATCAGAGATCTGCTGCTTTATTCTGTAACACCTGTTTTCTTTTTAGGACTCAGGATACTGTATTTGTCTGTATATCTATGCGCCTTAGTGTCCTTTTTCTCAGCTTGTTTTTTAGTTATTTTTGCCTTGGCTTTGTCATCAGTCTAAGTGAATACTGTTAGCAATAATTACAACATTATCTAAATTACAGGAATTTGCACTCATCATTATTTTTAAAACATATACAGCCTAATTAATGTAATACAGGAGTCATATTGTATTATTATAATTTGCAACCATAAAAACACTTACATAACAATATGTTAGAATATAATAATAAATTGTTACAATTTGTACTGTTATATAGTAATAGCCTAATAATAAATCTATGTCTTTATACTTAACCACAACGACTGACATCTCACTGACATTGATTTTGATGTGGAAAATAATTGTGTGATAATAAAATCAAATCTGTGCTCAGTTACCACTGCGGTGGGTTTGTTTTTGGATTCTTCCAAATAAATGAAAAGGCTTTACTGCAGCGGGGAAGTCGAGCTATGAGAAATGTTCCTGTGGGAGATTAGGCTCAGTGGTCCCGTTTGAGGTGGTTTGAAAGCCTCCATTATGGCCTGCAACAAGCTAAATGGACTTTCAAATTGCATTTTCATGCTGCATATGTGACTTAAAGCCAATTTTATGCTCGTGGACGCGCGCCACAATATCAGGAAAAAATGTGGCTTTGCTGTGGCTTTGTTTACAAGGAATGTTCAAGTTTGTGTTTAATGAACTGAATCCTTAAAATTATTCGCAGATTAGTCATAATACTTAACATTATAATAATAATAATAATTATTATTATTATTATTATATTATTGTTATTATTATTATTATTATTATTATTATTAATACCCTATGTCGTTTACATGCAACAGACCACGAAACGCATGTTTTTGCTCGACCAGATTTCACATTAGTCTCCATCTAACGATGCCTCATCTCTCTTTTTCTCTAACTGTAAAATACTTCCACTGCAGCCGACAGTCTATCTTATAATCATTCCAGCCAGAACAAATAACATGTTCCCAACATGCCAGGCGGCTCTGCTCAGAATCAGAGACGGCCGCACCAGGATGGAGGGGGGGGCAGTGGATGGACTTACCGACACACTCGTTGGCCTCCCTGGCTGTGGCTCTTTGCCACGGTCTGTCGTAGTGGAAAGGTTTGCACCTGTCGCACTCCGGCCCGGCGGTGTTGTGCTTGCACTCACACACCAGACTCCCATCCCGGTCCTTTACGCACCGAGATGCGTGTCCGTTGCATTTGCATCTGCCTCCGACCTGCAGGTCCGACACGGCGTAGAAGTACGAGTCCCGAGCCAGCTCCGAGTCGTCCTCGTTCTCATCACCGAACGTGTGCAACCGGCTGAAGATGACTTTGATGTCAGTGGCTGTGACCCAGTCCTGCAGCACGGGAGAGTTGTCGAAGTCGTGCGCCGACGGCCTGCCGTCCAGCGTGCTGAAGGCGATGAGCCCACCGGTCAGAGGGTACATGTCGGTGTGGGAGTCCGTGCAGACGGCCTCCTGCTCGTTCTGCTTCGTGATAACGGCCCTGTTCGGTTTGTTGTACATCTTCCTGCACTGGGTCGAGTAAAACTGAAAGGGTACCCAAGTTTTACCGTAATCCATGGACTTGTAAATCGCCATGGATTCAGGTCGGGGCGAGCAGAACTGCAGGCTCACATAGGTGACCTCAAACTTCTTGCCGAGGGACAGAGTCAGAGTGACGTTTTGCGGGTACTGGACGAAGTTCTCGGACTGCCAGCAGGTGAGGTTGTGAGGGTTGTTGAGGTCCGTCAGGTACGCCGGAGGGTGGTACTTCTTGGGGTCTGAGGCATCGCAGGTGTGACAGTTTCTGGTCCTCTCGTCTCCCTTCTCCGCCGATGTCACCACGCAGTATCGGCTGGGCGTCTTGCCGCAGGTGCTGGACACCTTCACTTCCTTCCCGAAGGCGGAGTTGACGAAGTCCGGGATGCAGCGGCGCGGGTTTCCGTGCTCGTCGTAGCAGGGGTCCGGCGGAGAGGTCTGCGCCGCGAACAGGCTCATCCCGTAGCCGCCGAGCACGCTCCGGCACGACAGGGACACGGCGAGCAGCACAGTCAGCACAACATCCACAGCCCTTCTCATGGTAGCTCCCCTCGGTCCCCACAGAGTCTCTGCCGCTGGAGAAGGAGACAGAGGAAACAGCGAGCATGTGAGGGAGAGAGAGAGAGAGAGAGAGAGAGAGAGAGAGGGAGAGAGAGAGAGAGGGAGAGAGGGAGAGAGAGAGAGAGAAGGAGAGAAAGCAAAGTTTGGTGACACAAGTTGATATAAATCTAGGCTTCTGCAAACATCTTCCAAACAAAAACTGAGGCAAGAATTATTTGTCACTGGTGTAAGGAACATTCAGTCACACCACACACACGTCAGGTTTTTGTAAAATCTCCATAAACCCCAGTTTACCTGAGAAAGAATTAAAAAAAAAAAAAAAAAGGTGTCAGAATACCGGCGATGGAATCAGGTCTACTTTTACTCTATCTCGCGCCAGTCGCAGCTCCTCCTGTTTTTGTTGTTTGTTTCTTCAAATCTCCTGCGTAAAAATATAGGAGCGGCTGGATTTAAGAGTCGCTTGTGTCCTAATAGCAAGTCCCACTCCTCCTGCCGGTCTTTTCACAACCTCTCTCTCTCTCTCTCTCTCTCTCTCTCTCTCTCTCTCTCTCTCTCCCTCTCTGGGATCGGATCGGATCTCGCCTGGCACACAGCTCTTTCGGTCAGCTCATCTTGAGGCGGTGACACCAGGCGGAACAACGACATCCACTGGTGGTGGCGAATCGGTGGGAAGATTGACGTGAGGAGAGACGCAAATTAGGCTGCAGGGAAGAAAAAAAGGGAGGGAGACAACAACGTGGGGGCAAACGCACCGCTGATCTGGCGCTTGCCACACCTTCATCTGAACGACACCTGATACGATCGTGTGGTTTAATCACCGGGATGTGAAAAGAGAACATGGAGCAGAGACTAATATTAGGCAAATTACCGCGATAAAATGACAGAAAACTGATTATTATTAGTGCAGTTTTCACCGTTCGCACAATAAACGACGGTGAAAATGATATATAGCTAAGGCCTATTTATATAAATGACCTACTAACATTCTGTCAAGTTTATAGTTACAGCCACCTAAATGAATTAAATACTGCGGGTCGTCGAGTACATACAGTAATGATGATTCCTTCAAAATAAAACACCCCAAACTAAATTCTTTTTACGTGCAACTAATGTGGAAGTTTGCTTAGCCCTTTCAAAGTGCAAGCTTTCACTATCACATCTTTAGATTAGACGACTGTGTTGCAGTTCTGTCTCCAGTATGAGCTCACTCTGCACTGGAAACCAGAAGCTGCCTGCAGGAGAGCAGATACGGTCTGTTAGGAGATATACAACGACACTAACTGAAGCTTTTCTACTCACGTGCAAACAACGCCAGGTCTTGAAATTAAAACAATTTGCAGACCAGACATGACCGCGTAGACTACATCCCTGCTGCAACAGTCGTCGCTGTCCCGTGCAGTCCATCCCGGCGCAGCAGCAGCTGCTGCTCCTCCAGCAGACCTGTTGAATGTTGGCAGCAGAAGCAGCAGCGCCACCTTGTGACCGTAGAGGGAAACGTCAGCTCAGTTGTGTGCAGAGAACGGCGTCCTCTACTGCACTTCTCCCAGGCGGTGGAGGCATTACGCCATTTATTTAGTGAGGATGAAAACCAACGGCTTGAATGGTAGACACTAAACTAAACTCGATCAGGCTGCTGTTCTCAGATTGGCACTGAGAGGAGTGAAGGGGATGTTGTTGAGACTTTTTTTTTTTTTTAAATATATATTTCTAGCTAGGGAGGGGTCTTCTGGGGTAAAACAAAGACAAGTGTCACTCGATTGTACAGTTGAATACATCAAAGAATCAGTTCTCCTTTGCAGAATATGCTTCAAGAGATTGGATGTAAGGATGTACAGCTGGCCTATATTTTGTAATACAAAATTTTTCTCCCCAAAATCAATCAACGGTGAAATTCTTTTTAAATATTTGTAAAATACAGGCCCAGAAGTACAAGGTGGAACTTACATCATGCAAATACTGAGCTACAAAACGTAATAGCGTCTAATAAATGTTGTGGGTGAGATAGTCAGGAAGCAACAGTCAAATAATGTGGTGTCACTCTTATAAACAACACATGATCAACACTTCTGTCATCGAGTTCCTACAAAAGGCTTCAGGTCAGTATATTTGTGAATATTTTCTAATTTCAGCTCTCAATTCTGCCATATACAGGCATGATGAATGTGTTATCAGTCCTGCAGCTGCTGCTCTGGCTTCACTTCTCTGTTTCAGCATTATCAGCTCTTTGCTTCATATCTGCTCTCACATGGACAGAAGAATAAAAAAAAAAGTTTCATCTAATCTGTGTCAGTTCAGATCTGCTGTGCGGAGATGCCAGCTGGAAACGGGAATAAAAACCACTGAGATGTCTGACAGCTGTTGGTCTCTTCGGGGTAATAAACTGTTCCATGTTCCATTTTCCATGATGTTAACGAGTCTTACACACCTACAGCAAAACCATTCAAAACAGCAGATGCTACGGTCCTGTAGAAAACATGTCTATATATACTAAAAGAAAAAAAAAACGAACAGTTATCAGTAGGATTTACCCCTCACTTTTCTCCTCTACCGTTTGTATCAGTCTACTCCTTGATTTCCAATCAGTTTGCTGCTCTGAACAATTAGATCTATTTTTTTTCTTTGTTTTATCCTTGTTTAGGATCATGTTCTTTCTTTACCTCTTCCCTAACTTCAGCCAGTGACTCACTTTCTTTGTATTTTTCCTCTGCTTCATCTTGGTTTTGTTCTCATTCAGTCTATTTCCTCTCTCCTGGCCCTTTTCTGTGACGTGCCCTCTGACTTTAGTGCTTTACATAGTTGAGCCGGGATTTAAACATTTCAAGATTGCAGATAAAAGTCATTAAAATAAAAAAATAATACAAAAATAAAATGGAATTTGAGTCTGTGCTGGTCTTGTGATTAGAGCTGAAAAGTCCAGGACTGAGGGGAGAGCAGTATATTAGAGACCAGTCTCTAGATGAAGTCTTAGTTTTTAATCCAAAAACTGATGAATGACTTATACAGTGAATATTTCACCTTTCTTTCTTTTCATCATCAGAGTTTATATTTTCATGGCATCACCTTGGCAGTTCTTAAAAAATGAAAATCAAATCATGTATAATCGACGACAAAACATGTTTCTTTGACGAGTAAGATAACATTGAATAATGTCTAATAATTTAACTTGAAGCTCTGTGGAATTGTTAAATACATTTTGTCATTTCAAAAGCTTGTTTCCTAATAGGCTATAAAAGGACAAGTTTTCCTACTTATCAGCTTTGCCTCCCACCTTTCATTACAAACCAAATTTTAAAGCGTTTAATTGAGTGTAATTCATTCACATCAAGGTTGTTACAAGTTGTTTATGTTACCCTCCAGTCAAACAAACTGTGTTGAAATGCAATGCTGTTCATGTTTACTGTCACTGTTTTGTATGGCTCACAACCACATTTCCCTCCCTTCAAGAGAAGGGGAATTCACAGTCTCTACTATATGAGATGTAAATGACAGGCAAAGCAGGAGGGGGAAGTAAGTGCAGCATTTCCCTGACAGAGAACAGGTGAGGAATATGGACCTCACAAACATCATTTACTTCACTGAAATTCATTAGCTCTGCTCATACAAATATTAGCATAAAAATAAAATCTTGCCATTTACCATAACACAATGCATATAATTAGTGGTTACTAACATTCTCTTAGTATGGCTTAACACAACAAACGAACAAAGCCACAGCATCTAAACAAAGACACTTAACTCACAAATGTGAAAATAGCGTGTAAACAAACACGTCAAACAGATGACTTCCCTTTAGTGGCCAACATCCCTTCAACATGCAGCCTCCCAAACACGCATGTAGACACACATAGACATGCACACAATTGCTCCTCCACTTACACAGTCACACACACACACACACACACACCAGCGGTCTCAGTCATTGTGCTCACATGCACCTCTCTCAAACACTTCCTGTTTGTGAACGGCTCTATGTATGTGTGAAGCGCAGACGTCTTTGAGCTCAGCAGAGAGCTACAGCCCAATCCACCAGCAGCTGATTTCACTCTTGTTTGACTGCAATGCGCCGCCATGCCCAGGATGTGGGTTCGTCTGTTAAACTGTGATGTGTGCGGTGAATGAATGGCAGAAGAACTGAGCTGGAGACGCTTTGCCTTGGACTCTTTGGACTCTTTAGACAAGTGCAGAGGGTATGGATGCCGGACAATAAACTGCAGGTAAGACAATGAAGGCAGCAATGGCTACATTTTATTTTGAAGGGCATCTCCTGCTTGTTCTGTGAGCTGGTAGGGGGGGGCAGTAGTCACTAACTGTCAGCCTGATGAGCTGGGGACAGTTCGTCTTTTCTCCTAATGTTCAGCCTCCGCGACAGACAGTAAACTTGACTCGAAATCGTTGACATGTTTGCATCTAAACTTGCATGTCTGAGAATATAATAGGTTGTAGATTCATCTCTCTACCTAATATGTACATGTTAAAGACTTTGGTCAGCTCTTTATGTCATTTTGTTTTGACTCATGTAAATGTGTATTTTATGATATTTATTATATAATAAGTTCATTTCTCTGCAATGTGAAAGCTTCAGGAGTCCTGTTTTCTGTCATGAGGAGCTGATGGGCAGTGTCAGTGTGACAGTGATGGGAGAAGCTGGGCTGTCATGTTGACAGCCCCCTTTTGTGTAAACTCACAGACCCCTACCCCCCACCCCTACGTTGTGATGCCATTTTGGGAACTTCTGCTTCTTCAGATGCTCTGTATGATTCATGCCTTTAATAAACAGTGAGGAAGTAGAGATTTAGAAGCACGTGTTCGGTGCCTGGATGTTTTGTTGCTTTAAAATGTATGTGTCTTTAAATAGGAAGAATAATTTAAGCCTGTTGATCTCAGACGCTGGTGTCAGCACCTTAAATGACACCATAAGGTTGTTAGAGTTCATGATTCTGGGCTGATCTCAGGGGATGTGGTTTGTTTTACTGAGACGTTGAGGTCCAATTGACTTGCAATTATATGCACATGGTTATAAATCAACTTCATGCATTAAGTCTGTGTTCAGTCATTTATTTGGATAGATATAAAAACGTTGCTGAAAAGTGACAACCAGTGATTCAAGCAAAGAATGCTGTTAACTGTCCCTGAACTATCAGTTTGACACGCCTGAGACTGTCAGTGATCTTTGAGGGCTCCACCCCATAGAAATGCTACTGAGCCAACGCCTGTACTCAACATCCTTTTTACTACGTTAACTAACCACTTGTCAGCCACATGTTGATTAAAGGTGCAGCATCTATAAAAGGGCACTGTACGTGAGAAAAGCTGGCAGATCGCTTGTATAGGTCCATGAATCATAAACAAGTGATGTAAAGGTGAAGGAAGACGCCATATAGTGACGTCCAGTGATTCTATAATATAAAGTAAAAGTAATATTCTTTTCTGAATCGAGCTGTTAAGTTTTTATGGGGCAAGTCCACATCAAGCCTCTCGTTGAGTCCAAGCCAAGTACATATAAGCAAATTGCATGTCTATCGCAGACTTTTCTTTTTTTAACCTGAGCGAGACCCAGCTTTCAATACTTCAACCAAATATTTCCATATTCAAGCTGTGTGGCTGCGCCTGTCACTGCCACTGGGATTATACTAAGTCAGGTCTTGAGGGAGTCAGCTCTCAAGTAAGTCAAGTGCCACAGCAGTCGAGTCTGAGTCAAAGCTCACATCTATACAGCTCTGCACATTTTAGCATTAAATGTAATGAACTCGTCATGGCTTCACGGCGTGCACCCTGCCTATCCGATGACGACATACAGACTCTTCCAGTACAGACACACAGGAAGGGATCATCTGTTCTTCGAAATTGTTCAGTTGCACAATCAGGTTGAGTACAATCATCTCGTCCTGTTGAGAAATAAAAACTGCCGGAGTGGCGGGGGAGGCCATGTGTCAGGCTTCAGATGAAAAAGGAAAAGAAAAGGTCATAGGTTAATGACTGGATTGGAGATACCACAGATATTCGATATGAAGCATAAAGACCGTTACAATGTGTTGTCTGTATGGTTTTCACCTTTAGCAGAGTTGATCACAGTATCCCAGCGCAGCACGTGTTATTCACAGCATTGCTTCCTGTTTGTCTCTTTATGGCTGTGGTATCAGTATAATCTTCATTTTCACCTTTATGACACATACTTTGAGGTTTTTCACCCCCCCCCTGTGTGGGTACATATGCGTGTGTGTGCATGCAAAACACACCTGGTGTTACAAAAAAAAACCATTCAGTGATATAAGCTTTAAAGCATACACACACACACACAACATGTTTTTCCATATCATAACTTAAACAAATGTAACAGGATATGTTCCATCCAGAAATCATGGATGTCTGCTTCCTCATCTGTTGTCGAATAATAAAATCCAGTGTCGTCAGGTGTGAAATTGAGCAGACAAGACTCGCTCAGTTCTGTTTGTGTAGCAGAGACACCGGCTGCCTGTTATTTGGAGTTAACCGTCAGGACCTGATATTACAGCACCTAATATTTGCATTCGTGATAGTTTCATCCATCTATTATCAGTGTTTATTGAGGAAGCGAAAGACCAAAGCCTATACAGTGTGGATTACGTGACAGAACAACCTCGGTGTTTTGGTGCTGTAATTTGATGTAGAGCAAATTGATGCATCTCAATGTTTTTTTATGCAGTTGCATAGAGGAGACTCATACTGTAACTCTACTTCAACATGCTTTGCATGAATAAGGTTTATAACAATGAGATTGCAGCAAAACAAAGTCAGTCTGGATTCATTTAGAAAACAGAATCATCTCCAAATCACTTTTAAATATACAATACAAAAAAGCCCTTAAAGTGCTCAGAAAAAAAATTTGAAAAATTAGAGCATCTACTATTACATTTGATGATGAAGGTCATGTGATTATGAAAGCTAGTAAATGGACCGTGATGTGACATTGTTTTGTCGATTTGTGAAAGCTGTTTCCAAGGTTGAGAATGAACTTTGAGGCTCATCTGTGAAGTAAACTTCACTGTTTTCCACACATAATAACAAAACATCCCCAGTGACTTCATGACACACACAGATCTCCTCCATCAAACTGCTGTGTTCTGACCGGTAGCGGTTGTTTGAACTAAAGGGAAGCACTTAGTTACAGCAGAGCTTTGGAGTTGGACCGCTGTTGTTTCCCAAAGCCATAAGAGGCCAGTTCACATCCACTAGGTCAGTGGAGGGAAAGGTGGTAGGGGGTACGGGGCAGGGGGAGGCTGTTCTGTGGGCCAGCAGAGGAAGACTGGATGTGAATATCAGACTCTATCAATCAGGAGGGGGGTGGGGGGTAGTTGAAAATGACAGGCATGCATACTGTACACACACACGCACACACACACACACATGCACATTGCCACAGGACACACACACACACCACACACTCACACACCATCACAGACACACACCACACACACACCACACACACACTCACACACACACACACCACACACACAACAACACACACACACACACACGACACACAACACCACACACACATCACACACCACACACACACACACACACACACACACACACACACAAGAGCTCTCCTCCCTGGTCTGTGGGAGTCTATCTGAGAGTCTGATCACACCACAACAATAGGGAGGCACCTGCTTCCTCAGCTGAGCAGGGAAGCTACCTTCCTGTTAGGAAGCAGTTGGTAATGGGATCAGTGGGGGAGATGGGAAGCCAACGAGAGAGAGAGAGAGAGAGAGAGACACAGGTGTAGGTGCAGCGCTAGGGACTGCTTGGTTTTCTCTGGGAAACGTTGATACTCGTAACCCTCGACAAGGAGCACAAGAGAGAGACAGAAAACGAGAGGAGGGAAAGACTTGTACGGTGCTCTAAGTAACATTTCGATGTGGAGTGGTTACAAAGTGACATGATGTAGCAATAGTGAAAAACTATTGTTATTGTGGCAAAATAAAAGCTGAGAAAACGTCCTTCATCATCCACAGTTTCCACCTGCAGCTATATTTGAAGTCAGTAACCTGAGAAGACTCTTTATTAGATACACCTGTAGGTGTTTGAGCTGTAACTAGAAAACCATTCTGCAGCATCGTATTCTGAATCTGTTGTGCTTGTTTTACCTTGATCTTGGCAACCACTGGTCAACGTGGGGAAGATGAGAAAGACAGAAGTTGAAACAGAAGTCACAGTGATGGGTGAAATATTGTCATGGATCGGATTGTTCAGAATGCTGTTACTGGCAATGTGATCAATGTGATAATTTCATTGTTGTTGTCCGGATCAGTGGTTTCTCTCTGTTAGCTGACAATACAGCCTATTGTTATTGAGTGTTAGCGCTTGGCTAATTGCAGCCACAGCTGTCAATTTGCTCTATAGATTGTCTGATTTTTGTTCACATGGATATTTGCCTGACTGATGTTGCACCATCACAATATTCAATGTGTGGACAAAACACACTATACTTTTCTTTTTTCTTTCACATCTCTGTAAGATTGTAGTTAAATAATTCACTGTAAATCGTTATAAATTCCTTAAAAGTGGTTTGGCACCACACAAACACTGCCTCTTATTGTGTGACTGTTGCAAGTTGCAAGCCATGAAAAAGTGGAAGTGACCTTGTTGACTCTTAGGGATGTTCTGCATACATCCTCTTATGAAACACCACAGACTCATGCATTTGCAACATGACTAGCAGCAACTCGACGTAAACAACTATGATAACACTCTGGATTTTGGGATTGAATTTTCTGTTAAAATCCCCGTCATAGTACACTGCAGCACCACCCATAGTTCCAAGGTATCTCTCTTTATGTTATGTTCATTTATCAGTGTATGTGTAACTCTTTGTTACCTTTTAAACAAACACACAATAAGGCTGCTTCTGTAAAGGGGACTATACCAACAGAACTATTACTGCTGGGAGTAATAAACTTTCACTGCGTCATGCCACTTCATATACTGTCCTCACCTCTTTTATTACTTTTACATGTCTCCATTGAACCCCATCCTGGATGCAGGAGTCATCATAGCTTTGACTTATTAGTTCCTTCCACTCGCACCGGGCTCTCATCCAGCTCTGTCCAAACTCGACAATGACCGGAGCCCCCTAGCACAAGTGTCCAACTTGCTCGCCTCCATACCCCTCTGTACACCACCTCAGTGCCACTCGAGACTTCTCTTTAGACACAATACCTCTCTGGGGAGGAGGGACCGCTGAGAAAAAAAAGGGAGCGACATAGATGTGTTGTTTACTTGTGGAGCTGGAGGTATTGTTATTGAAAGGTAACTGTAGGAAAAAGAGTGAAGTGGTGGTGGGAGTGAGGGGTGGGGGTGGAGGGGGTAATTCAGCTTCATTCCTCTAGCCTCCTGAACCTGGAGCTTCCTGCCCCACTTCTCCCACTGGTGATAATAATGAGGTGGGTGGGTCGGATGTTTGCACCGCGTATGTGTCTGTTGGTACTGTGTGTCTCTTTAAGCATGCAACTGTTAGTGTAGGCTGACTTGTCTTGAGTTTGCCTAGCTTTAAAACACTAGTTTGCCATCTTTGACGATCGTTATGAGAAGATTGACAGCGCGTTGAATGAGAAACCAGCTTGGTGACAAAAATCCGCCCACCAGCACCAGTAACTCTAGCGCTCACTTATAAACAAATTATATGTCAAATAACAACGACACATTGCGTGCTGGCCTAATTCTTTGATTAGGGTTATTAGGTGAGTAGGTGTGAGCGAGTCATTCATTGACACTATCCATTTATATCTGGCTTTCATATGAAGTGGGGAATTTGTTGCACTCTCTGGGGAAATTCTGAGAACATGCAATCTGACAAAAACAGTGTTTGATGTCATTTCTCATTTCTGTCCCTGCTCTGACACCAATCTGTCAGCAACTGTGTTGCAGATTTCACTGATTTTAATCATCAATAGTTCAATCAGTGATGTAACCAAAAGAGTTGCGCCACAGTCACTAAATTTCACGTACTGTTGCTGTTCAGTAATGTTTTTACACAAATGTAATATGCTCATATTTTCAATTATGATCAGTTATCCAACATGTTTTTCCTCAGTGAAACAAGCTCAGAAATTCTGTATGTACGTTTAGCTTGAATTAATAGTGTCAAAATAATTAGGTTTGTGACTCATGAATAAGTGTGGAACTGTACATGTCAAGAAAAAAGTCATCAGCTGCTCAAGATCTAAAACAGAAGATCTTTAAAAAGCTTTCTTCTTTAGGGAAGTTTTTGTTCTGCTTCTCAAATTTGGACATTTCCCAGAATTTGCACGCATGTACTGTATTTGCATGGAAAAACTCTAATATGAGGAAAGAGAAGCTTTAAAGATATATTAAGCAGCACAACAATGCATAATCAGCAACCTTGTAACTTTTCCTTCCGACCACATTTTAATGAATGTTCCAGTAAATTCCAGTACTTGTCTAAAATGCAAATTGATTAAATCTTTCACAGCATCCTACACATGAGTTTCTTGATCAAATGCAGGCATGTGTGGTGTTTCATTTGTTTTGTTTTATATTAATGCATCCCATTCACTCCTAAGCTACAGCCAGTCAGTGAGTCAGGTCATTTACATTTTGTGAAACAAACAGCGTCTTAAAACGGAATTAGAGAAATTTTGTATGTAATGTTTTCTTTTATTGTTAGGCTTGACACTACATTTATGTTTTCCATTCTCCTTACTGAGGTAAACATAAGGTTGGAGTAAAGTGCAGGTGGTAGAAAAAAGTAGAAAACCTATCAACACTTAAAGGAGCTTCCCAATAAATGGTGACATACTGTATGTACATATTGTGTTGGTGACAACTTGATGTTATTTTGTGACCGGTCTGCTCAGGGGTACAAGCAGTCACCCTACAAAAACACCTGTGAAATATCCAGGGGAATTCATAGGTCTTGCAATGTAGGAGTTAACAGTAAAGAAGTGGTCCACCACCAATTAAGCTTCTATTTTTACTGCGACAGTCTATTTGGTTTAGGGGGCAGCTTTGACCAGCTTTAGGTTTTGGTTGATTTGTGTCACAGATTTCAAACTGTGTCATTAAACACGTGTTATGTTGTTTATCTACTGTAAATACAGAAAGGATTTATATCTCTATCACACCACTCTTTTAAATGACTGGTGGGACGTCCCTTGTATCTTGCTATGCATATATCCTCTGATGAGACATGTTCATAACAGAACTGAAACAACTTGCCACACCTGGGTTGTCCTCAGTTACTGCATGAAAAACAGCCAAATGAAATGATAAACTGAAAGTTTAAACAACAAAAAAAAAAGAAGAAAAAAAAGTGAAGTTCAGCACATCCTTGCGTCTTCAGTGGTGAAGATATGATGTACTTACAAAGCTGTGGTAATACTGGAATTACAGGTTGGACTATTGTCAGCGCCTCTCCAGTCCACAGCATTGTTTCACATCTCTGATAAGTGTGATACTGATTTTGAATATGAAATGACTGGAGGATGTTTTTTCTCTTTTAAGCTACTTTAATAGTCATATTGGGAAAACTTGTTTTGGTTTGTTTAAATGTTGCTGTCAAAGCTTGTTGAGTAATGTTGAAATGTCATGAATCCAACTCAGTAAGAACTGCTACTGTATGTTTACACCAGTTACCCAGTGTTCTTCTGCGCTACAAGTGAGACAGTCTGTGAGTATTACTTGCTTTGTTGATGTTACCCTTAATACTAGTAATAGTGGATAGGCATTTCTTCTTTTTTTCATTAGTTTCAACAAGGTTCATGTTTGTAGAACTTTTAACCAATCAATCAATCCTTCTTCCAATTTATATGATTTGTGGAAACATAACTGACATTGAGCTGGAGGTAGAGGTAGTTTGTTGTTGCTGGATTTAATATGCTGTGGCCGTTTTACCATGCTCCAAAATCCTAGGCCACTTAGTCTGCAGAGCTGTTTCTTGTTTTGACGTTTGACTTTTGACTCTTGTTCCATTGATTTAATCATGAAAACCCAATGTACTCACATTCAGGCAGGAAAACTTGAATGAGGGTTTGTTTCCATATGCAGGTGATTCAACTTTACATCTCAGCCTGGTCCATTATGGACTTCGGTTTCTATATTCTCGTGACACTAAATCCGTCACATTTAATACAGTCAAAAACAAAACATCAAACTGCTTTAAAGCACAATTGCTTGTCGTGAACTACAGCCGTTTAACTGTACACTTTATGACAATAATACAACAAGAAGTATAACATTAGCATAATGTACTATTCAACATACACACTGACTATTACACACGCTTTAATAAATTTGGAATCTGTCTTAACAGCATATTTTATCAAAAAATGGGTTATGTACATAATTTGCTCTTACATAATATTTAAAATAAATCACAGACCTTTCAACATTTTTCAAGACTTTTGATAAAACTGGCTGATTTGAGGCAGAACAAAGATTTAAAAAAAAAAAAAAAAAGAAACTCCAGCTAACACTATAAATAAAATAAAAACAATGACAACTTTATTCTCAGATGAATGCATTTCAGTTTGTGGCTTAAACAGACGGCGTCCAATTATATGTGTTGATATTTCAGATTTCAGGAGCTATTGCAACAAAACATAAATACAAGCAACCCTGTCTCTGTTTTTCCTTCCTCTCGGAAATGTCCCTTTATGGTTTGTGTGTCTTCTTAGACTACTTTTCATACTTAGTGGGTGATCTGCCTGCATGCAAAACAGATGAGATAACACACACTGTCCATGAAAAGAGAGGAGCATGTGCGTGTATGTGTGGATGAAAACACTATAGATAACAACCCCACAGATTATATGAGTTGGAATTGGGTTATATATCATGTTTTGATACTTAATGTCAGGTGTCTCTCCTGTCTCTCCACAGAAGCTGAGTGGTGAAGATGCAGCACACCTCGTGTACAGAGGACAGGATCCAGCATGCTCTGGACAGGTGTCTGGACGGGCTGAGACAGAGCCCCACAGCGGCACACCACTGGAACGGTAAGATGAGGACCGCAGCGGAGATTGGCTCACGCTGAAAAGAGTTTAGTCAGGGCATGTGGCGGTTGCTCATGTAGCAACAGTGTCTGCACTGCTAAAATGATGATGTTTGAATTTCTGTGGGTATTGTGATGTATCGTTTCAGTGAAAACCTCACATCTTAGGAATGAGAACCTAACACAGAAACAGGTGTGTTTTTAACATGATGACAATACATTTTTGATTGTGTCTCATGTTTTTTTTAAGCTCATTTGGTCAGAGAAGGTTTTTTTAGCATGTACTTGAAAATCAGTAGCCCTCAGGGAATCCAAAACTCTCTTAATATGCACTATTGTCCACATTTATGTTATTAAGGATGGCAATTTTGAATCTGCATCTTCTGCATTAAAAAGTATAACACAGTGAGTGACAATCTTAGTGTTCAAATCAAAAAAATAGTCATCCCTTAAAAATGGTCATCTATCATTGTGCTCCTGTATCTGAAGTCACACCAAAAACAAAATCACTTTCCACCAAATTTTGTTAAAATCTGTTAACCTTTTTTTTTTTTTTTTTTTTTTTTTTTAGATTACTATCAAACAGTTAGACATATAGAGCAGAACTGAAAACACAATCTTCTTGGCAGAAATTGTGAAATAAGTTTCTAGAGTAGCTGCCAAAGAAGTGGAAAAACATCACCTTTTACTGTTTGATTTACGGTGGTTGGTGCTGACGCTGGAGCTCAGGTCAGGGTCGATTAGATCAATTGACCTTTTCCACAGCAGACATTTTTGAAATGCCATAGCAGAGAAAGTACAGATGTATTTAGTAATGTTAAATACAATTGTGTGTGCTGGCTCCCTGGGATAACTTACTTGGACACTTACTGGTATTGATCCGGATGTGCATGTCCTGCTATCAGAAGTCAGGATGTCTGGTATTGTAGGGTTGGTAGTTCAATCCTGACTCCTCCTGAGCACATGTCTGTCAGCCCAATTAATGCAAAACCAACTATTCTGGGTTTTGGGGTTTTTTTAGCTGACGTGCTAGTTTAATGGCTGTTGTGCGGGGTCAAACCTTCTATTTCTAGGAATATAAATGCAACACATTTTCTCAGAAATTTCAGCAACAGTAAACACATTTGGATGTGCTGTGTGCTATGTGCTGTTTACAGAAGGCGGTTGTTTATTCTCACTTTCTTAACACAAGGACAGAGTGTGACAGACGCACACTCTGTCAGCACACAGAGCATTTGCGTTTCTAAATATCTGAGCTTGTTGCTGGTGACACTGTTGCTGTAAAATCATCAGGGAACTGTGTTATTTGGTGCTGGAGGAAGTTGTGTGAATAGACAGCTGAGAGGAAGTGGTGCCACACACCACAGTGTGTGAGTGAGGCATCATGAGGCAGGAGTTACTGTGGTGCATGGTGTAAAAACAGAGTGGAAGATCAAATCAACATCAGCCTCCCACACGTCAACCAGTGCCAGATAGAGTAATGCATAGCTACTTACACAAACGTATGTTGAGTTTTAGACTCTGATAGACTCGGTTTATGTGGTTTTGCCATTTAGAACATACTAGCTGAAGCTGGCATTTGTTTTTCATGTTTCATGTCTCCTGCTCCTCCTCACTGCTTTTTCGTGGCTCCAGTGTCTGTTAAGAATTTTCCAGGGATGTGTTCTGTATTGTCCAGTCTTCTATTTTAGAGATAATCAAATTTACATCTCAAACAGGATAATTTGAAACTTTCAGCTTCATTTCCTGCACTGGAATCTTATCAAAATTAACCTGCAGAGCTCGCCACTGAATACACATGATGCGAATACACTTCTGACCTTTAAATAGACCCAGCACACTGCTTTTTATAGATTGTTGGATAACACTCCTAGGTGTAATGAGCTTCAGAGAAATTCAGCAACTGATGAAAACTTTTCTGTTTAACCTAAACAAGCCTGACGTGTTACTTCCTTGGAGACTGAGCTCCTTAGAGATGCACCAGGAGTTGTTAAGGCCGAGGGATCAATGGAAAGCAAAGTGAGGAATCAGCGACCACTTTCAGTTTTCTTTTTTTAGTGTGACAGACTACAAATTGGTGTGGTTTTAGATGCTGTATGCACACCTTTCTCCTGTTTTTTGATCTCATGTTTGCATTTCACACTCTAATAGAAACCTTTCAGTCAGAGCTCTATGAAAGAACACATCTCCTCCCTTCACATCTCAACACTATTACATATAACAAAAAGTCTCAAGTTGGCTTTTCAACAAAAAAAGACAGAAAGAAAGAAAGAAAGAGTTTTGAAATGTATCTACAACCTGAATGACAACATTTTGTGAATCTACTTCTCCCCATTTCTTTTTGCCAATCTAATTTTAACTCTTAATTTTCCTTTATTTTGAAATTTTCTAGTACGAAACAATACCTTAACGCTGTTTTCTTGCAACAGGAAATCCATCCTGTCAATTTTGTACATGTACAAACATCCTATCTGAAACACTGAACAAAAGGTGATAAAACACACCCTTGAAGCGCACAAGAACCTCTGACAGTTATGGGCTTTAAAGCCCTTTTGTGAGTTGCTGCACACCCGCGTTTGGTTCATGGCAGTCCCCTGACCCGAACGTGAATTTGTCAGAGGTGCTACCCACTTCATAAACACGTAGTGTTAAATTCGTTTTCATTCTTATGATTTCTTTCTATTTGTAATGAATTGCCTGAACTGAGGTTTCAGTTTGAAATAAAAAAAAATGAACATTTGCGCAACTGTTTTATTTGTTGTGATAATAACCAAAAAAAAAAAAAACCTGCTTCTTTTGTTGAATGTTTCCACGTATTGGTGACGTGGTTCTGCAACGAAGATGCAGTCAAGTTAAGCTTAATGAAAATTTAATTCTCATAAGAGTGAGCTCAATCATACAATCATACTACAAGAAAAATGTCTATATTAGTGGTCTATAGAAAACATAATCTATCAAAATCAGCTACCTGTCCCACAATGCCTGTGCGTACCAGTTAGCATTACCAGTGAGGGTCTAAGTGGTGTAACTTGAACAATAACACATCATTGGGACAACTTTGTTTTCCTACCTACGAATGTTGGATACTTGTCTGTCCTTTATGCCTAATCACTGGGTGTAGTTACAGTATCTTGGACACAAATGTACATCATGTGCTACACCTGAGTGGTCATTATTGTATGTGCGTAGTTGTACCCGGTAGTTGACTTTAATTCAAAAGCCCCAGCAGGTTGGTTCCTCATTACCTGTAGCTTATAGACATGTGCTCAGATATCAAGGCCAGTACAGCCTGTGCTCTCAAAGCATGTCACAGATGATTCTTAGATGATGCCAATAATTTGAACAGGAAGTCAAGTGATTTCTGTGTTTTGGCTTTCATAGTTTGTTTATGTTGTCTTTTTGTATTGTGTTATGGTGCTTTCTTCACAAAGCCAATATTTAAAATCATGTTTTAATCACAATGAAATATATATCTGGTTAAGTAAAAGCTAAATGAATCTGGCTATTAGTCTAAGCTCCATGTCTTATCAGAAACGACCTGACCACAAATGTTTTTGGTTACCCAAGTATCTTCTTTATCTCCTTTTACATGTGTCTATCTGTGTAATGAAGTTGTTCATGTGTTTACATGAAAATACATGTACTGTGTTCCAGTGCTGATGTGCTCAGCGGGTCAGTCAATGAACCGTTGGAGCCTGGAGGAGTTGGTGAAGAGAGACCCCGAGAACTTCCTCATCCTCTTACAGCAGATCATCACAAAGACCAAAGAGGTGAGAAGACAAAGAGCAAAGGTCACGGTCAAAGAGAGCACATTGTCCACTGTGTGATTATCTTAACACCACTGCTCATTGCCTTTCTGTGTGTTGATGTTCAGGTTCAGGAGCAGTGTCAGTATGAGCTGGTGGCTCCTCTCGCTATCATGTTCTTCTCCACCCTGCTTCAGGTACAAATCGTCTTCATGCACATTACCAAAACATCTGACCTTTCATCACCTCTCTGCTCCATTCACAGTGTTTCACATGTGTAAGAGTATCCTCCATCCAAAAGGTCAATTAGTTCCTCAATTCCAGCCACTGTGACGTTTCTTTGAGGCATCACTGTGAGAAAAGTGCCTAGCACAGTTGCGAAAACAATATAAAGCACAGAATTTGCTTGCCTGGCAAAACACCTGTGGTTGATAAACATTGTTTCTGTTTTTCAGTCGAGCTAATGTGCTTATGTGCTCTCCCTAAAATCAGACAGTCCATGAAACAGTGCACTCTAACGGTAACTGGAAAAGATCTGATTGATTTATCGCTGGAAACATAAAGAAAACATAAAGGGTTTTCTGTACCGACACGTATTGGCTGCTCTTTTCAGTAGATTTAACAGAGGATTCTACATCGATAACACAACATCATTGGACTGCTTGAAAGTCTCTTTCTTTTTTTTTGATAGGAACTGAGAACCCCAGAGTTTACTTTGAGCCGTGTAGCAACTAATAATGTTACAGCTTTGATGTTTTGTAATCACGTGACAAATGTGCCTTCAGTTGTTTGTCATGAAACTTAATGAGGTTAATGAGGTCAGTATCACCTTTCATAACTGGACTGCACACACCACATACAGTGCTCAACTGTAAATGTCCATCCAAGCCTCCAACAGGTCTTGCTGCACCTCAACAGGAGCCTGTTAACATATACGGTTTGTGCTTTGGTTGCAGACACCGTACTGCTCTCCAGACACGGAGCTGCTGGAGGAAGCTGCGGAGGTGTTCCGCTGCTTCCTCACCTGGCCTGAGCCTTACTGCAGTGTGTGCAAAAACCTCCTCTCCACACTACAGCTGGAGATCAAGGCCCCAGGTAATTGTGGAGTGTGTCATTCATTTTAAAGACCTCTCTCTTTCTCTGTGTGTCTGTTTCTAATGACTCCTCACTGTCTCTGACACGCATATTCTTTAGCTTCATACAGTTTTCCCAACCTTTGTGATTGCCCTCCCCCTAGTGACAAGTCAAAGAAATGCATATCAGCGACACACTTCACCAGCAGCATCAACAACAGCAGTGAGAGGAACCTGATAAGGCTTTGGGTTGAACCGGGCACTTCTTCATACTGATGTGATATTGTTTGAAAGCGGATGTAACTTCAGAATTTACGAAAAACAAAAAAAGCAGAAGCCACATGTGAACACCTGTGCAGACATTAACAAGAAGGGTCACAGGAAGTGCCAAAAACACATCAACAGACTGAATGAATAGATTTGAATGAATGAGAGATCACCTCTAAGTAATCTGTTTCTTTTAGGCTTTTCAAAATACATTACTGTCATTCATTACCATCCCTCAGACAAGACAAAGTATGGATCTTGTTTGTACTCGTTCAACACTTAAATGAGTCACTTTGTAAATACAATTTTTTTAATCAATGTTTCATATATGAATATCAAGCTGTTATGGACGCTCTGGTAGCCACTTACCCTTCATCTGTCTGCAACTACTCCACCAGGACATAAATAACAGTGTTCCTGTCAAGTTGATTGGTTAAAAACCATCCACACATTTAATAACATTTATTTTCTATTTTCCTCACAGGGATTTCCTTTCAGAGACTTGTGAGAGAAGAGCAAGGCCTTAACACCTCCAGCCACTGCTCCAAGACCATGTAAGTCCACACACGATTACTGCTCGCAGAAACTTGGTTGTTTTAGGTGTATGTCATCCAGTTTCCCGCACTTTTCACAGACTCTTGAACAGCAGATCGTTCTGCATGTTCTTCAGTTTCTCACAGCTCCACTGTGTTTCCATGATTAACAAGCATTGGTGATATTCAGATATTCATCTGTATATGTAAGGATACGTGCTGTACACTGCATAGAACACCTTTCTACTTAATTTCCTACTTCCTACTTCCTCCTTTTCTTCAGTCGAGTTTAGACTGTGTTATCTTTGTACTCTTGTACTTTCTGCTTTCTTGTTAAAATGGACAGTTTTTGTTCTCATACAGGTCTGTAGTTCACAGCAAGTTCATCTGATCTGACGCAATACTTTTAAATTGAGAAAAATAATTGAGCACTGGGTGTTCTAAAGTTAACTGGGTTAATGAATTAAAACACTTATCTGGTTAGCACTTATTGTAGGTTCATAACCTGGAAAGTCCCTCTTCATCCCCTTCTCCACCCATCAAACCCCAGCACCACCACCACCACCACCACCATAGCATCCTGCTTGCATTTGAATTTGTGTACATGTTCACACATCACCAGTGACATCATCTGTCTCTTCCTGCAGGACTGTGCTGCTGATGAAGCCGGGCGAGGTGCCGGCGGACTTTCTCTCAGTGGCTGAGCAGCTCAGTCGCATTCAGCACTCACAGAAAGAGACCTATATCACCCTGATCAAGCACGCCTTCCAGTCCACACTAGGCACCAAGTACCCTCTACATAGTATCCACACAGCCCTGCAGGTATGTGGTCAGAGCACTGGTTCAGGGGCACCTGGAGATTGTTCTCAAAATAAACAAAATTGTATTGTATTGTATACAGATCTAAGTTTTGAATTAAATCACACCTATCAATTAAAACTACTACTCCCTTTAAACCTTCCTTGTATGCATTTATAATCAACACTAGTAGTTTATAATAGAATTGCATAAAGGCTTATAAAGGCCTTATGTTACGATGTAAGCAATATCAAGGAAATGTGTAGCATAACATCTACCCTACATAAAATACATTTAGAAATGTATATATATGTATGTACTGTATATACAATGTAAAAATGTGTAAAACAGATTTAAAAGTATCTTTACTATATCGTATGTGACAACTGTTTGCAGGGAAAAAGTGTGAATGAACTGGGTGAGATCTTCTCCACTGTAAGTGATGTCTTAGAGGCGGCCGCTGCCATAAGCGACCCTCTGAAGGGACGCAGTCATGTGATCCAGGGACTGGAGGGACTGAGGGAGAGGATGAGAATCCCGGCATCCAATGGAAGGAAGTCTGATGGTAAGAGAGCAGATTTTATGAACCAGGGGATATATGTCTGCAGCGTATAGCACATGATTTGGATATCTCAGTTGCACTGACAGGCTGTTATTTTTCTCTTTTTCCTGTCCTCCCTCTCAGGAATGCTACAGACGCTACCACTGCCAACAGCCAAGTGTTACATGTTTCACTGGGAAAAAGATAACTTTGGTAAAGTATTCAGTGTGATATGCCTGTGCCCTGGAGCCTATTGTCCCATGATCCTACATTGCTGGAGGGCACTATTCAGTACTGCTTTCAGCACAGACAGACAGACAGACAGACTAACCATATATCCCATACTTTCTTATACTTGTGATGGGAAGAACACAATCAGCATAATAACATGAACGCTAAGCTCCCTACCCTTTTGCTCTTTCAATTTATGATTGATATCTATCTATTTTGATTCCTGCAGACGTGCTGAACACCCTTTTGGAGCATGACCCTGACGATCTCACCATTAATGGGCAGGCTGAGGAAGAGGAGGAGGTAGACATTGATGACGATGATGATGATGAGGAGGAGGATGTGACAGGGATGGATGTCGAAGAAGGGGAGGAGGAAGAAGACAAAGAAGAGGAGGGGCATGGAGTAGGATCCCCTGCCATGTCTATCACACCTAACAGCTACAGCATCAAGCACCGTGACTCCACCTTCTCAACCATCTCCTCCTTGTCCACCGCCTCCAAAGACTCAATGTTCTCCACCTTGTCTGTCACCTCGGAGTCCTACGCCTCGTCGCTCTTCTCTGTCACTTCTGGAGCCGACAGTGACTACTTTGATGATTCTGACGAATATAACTGCTCCTCTCCCGTTGCGGAAAAATGTTCGCCAAAGTCTACCAAAGCTTCGGTTCGGCTCAGCCAGCACTTTTACAGGCTCTTCATCAAACCCAAGAGCCCGCTGTACCGGGCGAAAAGCTTAGGGAACACAGAATCAAAAGACCTTTTAGTGGTGCGAGAGAAGCGCTCCAACTCTCTACCCCAGCAAGTCAAGTTACGTAGTCCTGAGCCCCTACTCCAGCCACAAAGTCAAACTCTTAGACATGTCTGCTTCAGAAGGAGGCCTATTCTCAGCAGTGATGAGGACAGTAAGAATACTACACTGAGGGTGGTTGTGTTTGGTGCTGATCATGTAGCAGGGAAGGTGGCCCGAGCCTACAATAGTCTGAGGAGGAAGGAGAGTGCGTGTCCACGTCTCAGCAGGGCCTTCAAGCTTCAGTTCTACTTTGTACCCGTGAAGAGGGACTCAGCTAGAGGAGTGGGGAGTCTGAGGTCCCCTTGTCCTGTGGTCCAAACTGGAAAAGGAGCAGCCCTGTCTAACGTAAGAAGAATGATACCCCAACCTAACCTCAAACACTGAACACAATGTTTTGTTTAAAACATCACATTTCTTGAGCTGTCAAAAATAACCTGCACCTGCACACATGACCGTTCGGTTTTAATCGTTGCTTTTGCTCAAGCAGGGTCTTCACCTCACGAGCACAGGGGACAGTACTAATGACATTGCCCATCTCCTTGGTATGTTGGACCCTTGGTACGAAAGAAACACCCTTAGCCTGCTCAAGTTGCCCGCCAACGTGGTCTGCCAGGTACAACTGAAATCTAGCCAAACATAATCCAAGAGTCTAGCGTTCATGTTTATCCAACTACATGAACATGAGTGCTTTGAGTTGTGACCAGTCAGACCTTTCAACAATGTCTGATTTTTTTGCTGTGTAATTATATTACAGTGTTTTTTTTTTTGTTGTACTCTTTTGCAGCAAACCTCAAAGACAGAGTCAGAGTCCTATGATAGTTCATATGAGCAGCGTCTTCCCATCCTGGCCGACTTGGTCCTGTACTACTGCCGCTATGCTGCCCGGCCGGCTTTGATCCAGCTCTATCAGGCTGAGGTCAGCAAAAAACACACACACTCAAACACACAGAGCTGGAATACATTAGATGCTTACATGCCATACAACTCTTTTCTAGAGCTGTTTTCTGCTACTAACCCATTTTAAAGGAAGCACTAGTATCCAGATCTTGGCATCCTTATAGAAACAGGAACCTGATGCCCTCTTGAGAAATTAACAAAAAAAACAAAAAAAACAAAACAAAAAAAAACACTGTTCCAAATGTTGTGAGTGATTGAGGATCTTTCATGTTGTAGTTGACGTTAGCTTGTGGGCAGAGGAGGACCGAGGTGTTCGTCCACTCCCTAGAGTTGGGTCACACCGCAGGAACACGAGCCATCAAGGCCATGGGTGAGTGGCACACACACACACACACACACACACACACACGCATGCATGCATGCATGCATGCATATCCTAGCAACAATGCCACAATAAATAAAACCCTCCACGTTTTCCATGCAGTGAAACGCATCATCAGTTATTATGAGGTTAACACTGGACTAAATTTATGGTCGAGGAACATCTGCTATTTCTATATCATGATTCAGTCCACTTCTACTTTTTTAGTTTCACTTGTCACCACCACTTGCACTTCTGATTTTTCATTTCCTTTGAGAAGTAAAAATTCAGGGAAAACTGAGGCTGTGCCTCGTGTCCAGTGGTGGTGACTGTGGAACTGATTGTTCTTTGTTCCATTAGTCACAGTATTCCTCACACAGAAATGATCTACTTTTCTTACTGCGAGTTGCAACAACATTGCTATTTACTGCTATCTGTGGTGAATTTAAATGTTGCAGTGATATTTAATATTTTTTTAGCTCTATTCTGAACTGTTTAACAGTACCACTACTCTCACATGGATTACTTATATGTGTGCGCGCATGTGTGTTTTTCTCTCTGTACGTAGGTGCTGCCAGTAAACGGTTTGGTATTGACGGCGACCGAGAAGCGGTGCCTCTGATGTTGGATGTGGTATACAACAGGGTAAGGTTCATTATCCCTTTGGAGGCAGTGCAGGTCTTCACTGTTTACCCGAATTCAGCTAGTTTCAACTGTGGTCACTTCTCCCCAGGAAATGACACATTAAAATTCAGTGACAAAATAGCAAGTCTGAATAACAGCATGCACATGTCCCCCTGTCCTGACAAAGCTAGAGTTTTTGATTGTAGTATAAAGCATTACTAACTGGCCTAACTGGTAAACATGATGTTTACAGTTTGGTGATGTTATAGTACGTCTGTATATAATACTGTAGCTCTGTCCCTTATCTTTGATTAGATACATTTCTTCAGTTTGAAATGTTGTCAAGGTGCTGTCATACTGTTTTTTGTGTGTGTTTTTCCAAAGCAGCAGTAATCTTATACTCCCTTCTCCTCTTCAGGTGGTCATTAGTGGCAGAAGTCAGTGGAAAAGAGAAACAAAAGTCTGTACTTCAGTAAATTTGACCAAAGCGTGCAAGAACCCTGAGGAACTAGGTATGCTGCTGGTTACATGGATAAGTCAGTGAACTGTTTAGTATAGTGATAGTACATGCATGACTGAGAACGCACATGCTGGAGGTAAACCTTCCCTTAATATTTATTGTTCATGGTGGGATCTGAGAAATCATAGTTTTTTTTAATCCTTAATTAAACTCATAGATGTTGTCGCTGTTCGTAATGTTTAACATGAAATCCCTTGATAAGTTTTGATACCTGCATTAGGTGACGATGAAGCATTTGCTGTCAGATGTGTGAGTGTATTCCTAATTTAACTCAAACAATCTCTGTCAGACTCAAAGATGGAGTGCCTGCAGCTAACAATGACTGAGGTTCTGAAGAGACAGAATGGCAAGAGCAAGAAGGGCTATAACCAGGTGAGCCAGATGTGAGATCAGTCTGTCTCGGTGGTTTGTGGTTTTTTTCACGAACAGCTCTGAAACACATTCTCTATTTCAAGACAGACACCTCAATACATCCTGGATAGCATCTCAAACTCATCTCATATTAATCTGTCATCTCACGTACCTTGAGAAAAATTCTTTCACACTGACAACTTGATAGAACAAAAAGCCACAACACACAGTTTGTTTTTGCTCTCGTGTGTTTTGGTCCTAATGTTGTTTGCTCAACATTGTATCTCGTTCTCTTAACCTCATTTAGATTGGGAGCTTTGACTTGTAATAGTCATTACACACCTCAGCAGAATGTAGACCTATTTAAATGACTGATCTTTAGCTCAAGGCTTTTTTTTTTTCTTCAACTCCCAAAGACAAAATCAAGAAAAAAACATTCAGACAAGCTGCAAAAGCAATGAATATTATATAAAATGATTTGCAAATACATCTCCACAGTTTTTTTTCTTTTTCTGCAAAATGTGTATTAATGAATTGCATTACATTTGGTTTTGCTCCTTCCCTTTGTAGCAGCTGAATGTGACAGAGGTGAAGGTGGACAAAGTCCAGGTCAGCGGTGCTGAAAACACAACTTTTGCTGTGTGTCTGGACCAGGATGAGAAGAAGATACTACAGACTGTCACAAGGTGTGGACTTAAGATAAGCACACACACACACATACACACGTGCACACACACACACACACACACACACACACACACACACACACACGCATGCACACACACACAGGAATTGATGCAGATATGTGTATATCTTTCTAATATAACAAATGGTTCTGTCAAGAAGTGGCAAAACTCCCATTGTCTCTTGACATATGGAAACACAACTGTAAATTAAAACATCTTTCAGGACTTTCACAATGTCAGAGAAACGATTTCTCATCACAAAGACAGACAAGACAGGCTCGCTATTTCTACTTGTATTCTCACTGCATTTCTTTAACTCACCTGAATCCTGTGCAGTCGCAACCCTGTTTCCTCTAAGGAACATACATGAATAAAAAAAATTACAGATATATTTACACAATTCACTCACGCCTCTGTTATTATTTATCTAACTCATACGTCTCCCTCTGTCCCATCAAGGTGTGAAATATCAGTGTGCTATAAACCTGACAGCTCCAGTGACTGGAGACTAAGAAAATCTCGGACCTCAGCTCAAATCCAGCCTCTCCACCCCACTTTCTGCTCCCTCCTCTGCCTGCCCATAGTCACTTTCAGTGGGGCGCTTCCCTGAGGCTGCTGACCATTGGTTTGGGAGGACTGAAAGGAAAGGACACTGATTGCAGAGGAGAAGAGCACAGGATGTACTGTATTTATCATTTATTCCTGGTGTCTTTAAGCCGTTGTGGTCAAGTTCACATGGTGGTGGCCTCAAACGGCAATGGGACACAACTGTTGGAAGCACGTGAACAGATAGGGGTCATCAGGAAACTGCAGACCTGGTTCGCCTCTTGATACAAGCACATACCAAATAACCCAAGAAAGAAGTTTTCCTCTATCAAGCAATAATTGACTATTGGTAGGGAAACTGTTCAAGTTTCCTTCTTCAGGTTTCAGTTCCTTGTTTCGTTTTGGCAGAGAAGTGACCTTAACCACAGTAACATCTTATCAAACAGGGTGAATCTACAGAGTCTCAGCTGGGACGACATCCAAACTGGCAAGAGAAATATGTTGTAGTAAGCCTGGGTCGTACTGGGCGATGGAATGTAAAAAAGAGATCATCTTGGAGTCAAACTTTAAGAACTTTTCTCTGGATCAACCTACATGGACATAGAGGGCTATGGGACATTTTGACACCTGCTGACAAGACTGTACTACTTAGAGTAGAGCTATTATTAGTGGCAATTATTGGACTATGTGACTATATCTGAGAATGGACACTATGAATTTAGACAACATGTAAATATTGTGTCTTTAAAATATTGTATTGCATAGTATAACATGAATGTCACACGATATTTGTTTATGTCTGTTCTACATGGGCTTTTAGTCGTAGCATTTCTCCTAAGGAGTTACTTTGACACCACTGTTTTAACTGGAGTTATAAGTATGACCAGCAGGGGGCTCTGTTGACTTTTCACTTTACTTCAGCTGAAGTACAGCTTCATCTAGAATAGGTGACACTTGGAGTAAAGTCTAACTTTGTAATATCTGTAAAGTAGTTTATGTATAAATAATATTTTAATGATAATATTCATTTCATCAAGAGCACAGATGGAAAATATGAATTTCATAATATGGTGCTTAGAAATATATTCAAATGTACACTTTTCTCTGTAAAAATAATCAATTTGCATATTGAAACTATGACATTTTTTTTAATCTAACTGTTTTCATGCTGTAATGGGATCATGCCTTGATTCACCTGACTGAGAGTGAAATAGTAGCACTGCAAAGACATTTCTTTTATGGATCAAGGCACTTGAACATTAGATTAAACAAATTAGGTACTTTTATGTTCAGATTAATGCCTGGCACCACTGCCCTCTACTCTTCTTACACATCTTTTCTGAAATGTTATAAATGCAATACTAGTTTTTATAATTGTATGTGCATTATCCATGCAATAGAAACATTTCAAATTCAGTGATCAATAAAATATGTCTTCAAATGGAAATTAAGTTTCAGTTTCCTTCATTTACACATCCGTATTAAAAATCCAATAATGGATATTAAATGCAATGTATTACACTCAAAGTTCAGTTTTTCTGCAATATGAGTACTACTTTAAGAAATGTGTAGATCTTTTTGTTTCTTTTGTATGCAGGACTTTTACTTTACATTTACATTACATCTATCTATCTATCTATCTATCTATCTATCTATCTATCTATCTATCTATCTATCTATCTATCCTGTGACTGACCTGTATATGTGGTGTAAAGACAGTTTATATGGATACGTGTCCTGATTTGTTCCCAGCGTAAGCACCAAGTGACACGCCATTGGTCAGTTGCAGGGGTGGGCGTGGTCTGTGGACTCTAACTTCTGTTAGACAGTTAGCGGGAGCCGAGTGAGGACAAGTGTCACCAACAGAGAGCTGTTAAAGTAATTAAAGTCAGGCGAATGGAGCTGTTTGTACATCTTAACTGCAGGTAAGGTTCCACAAAGACAGAAATATTTGTTGTTTTACCAAGTGCAGACGTTTTACTTTGTAGTTTACCGTCTACTTACTCGTGGAAAAAGTTAGTGTCGACAACTACAAATTGTAGATAGCTGATACTGCAGATGATTAAATGTATGTCAGCATTTTGAATGTGAACCATTACCATGTGCCTTTAAATCCGTTTAACACAAACCTGGATATTTTATCTGAAGTCGTCATGTGCCTACTGCTCTTCTCTTCTGGGGTTATCTATTTATATTTGAGTGATGTTTTTTGTTATTCCTTATGACTCATATGGTCTTAATGATGTTTATGTTTTACACTGATTAGCCGCTATCTGATTCTGATTCCTGATTCCGGCATGCAAACTGTATATCTCCCTGTATGCAACTAACGGTTGTTTTAACTATTCCACGTTCATTCATCTATAAAATGTCCAAAAATAGTGAAAACTGCTCATCACACTTCCTTATAACCCGGGGTGACACCGGGCTAAAGATATTAAATCTACTATCATGCAAGACAAAGATAAACGTCACATCCTCATAACTAAGAAGCTGGAACTATGGTCTCTTTTACATGTGAGTCAGGCTATAAAAAAAATAAAAAATACTTCATGCCCCATGACACGGGAAGACATGGGGGAAGGCGGTTTATTTTTTCCCTCCTGTGATAATAACAAGAGTTTGATAACAGTGCCTGATCTGATTGAAGCCTTGGCTCTCTGTTGTGTCTGCTGGAAGTCTAAAAGCACAGCTGTATTTCCTCCAGCTTCCTTGTTTTAGATCTGAGCTTCCTTGTACCACTTAGGGGTTAAGGGGATGCAGGGTGGCTCCAGGGAGTGTATTTCTCTGTTGGTCCCTGTCAAAGTGATCATTTTGTTTGTAAAAATAAACCAATATTTATTCATGAGCGACAACCAAGAGTATGGAAATAATGTCCTTGGCAATAAAGCACACATTGAATATTTATAAATCAGATAAATCTCTTAAGACTGACCAAGATAAAATGTGACACCCTCCAACAGCTGCTCACAACACTCAGTTAAAACTCTAATCTTGATCACAATTAGACTGGTGATGTCAACTATTGGGTGAGGCTCTTTACTCTTTAACAGTGACGTAGTGGTTTAAATATTTAGGCTTGATCGTGGTCCTAGAGAAAATAATGAAGTTGAATAACATTGTAAAAGTATGAGTGATAATCTGTGATTATTATTGAGCAACACATGATGAGAAAAATTACTTACAGTCCACATGCTGTTGAATCTGACCTATGTTGTGATAGTGGCCTTATTATTAAACAGTATGATCACCATGACAGTATAACCACAAAGTGAATCATTCATGTACAATCCTGAGATGATGGAAACTCCTACAAGGATATAATGCAGCAAAACAACATGTTTTGGATAGTTGTTCAGGTGAGGTGACGACTGGCAACAGTGAACCATTATACCCAGGATTACGACTTCTGCTGGAGAGAACGTTTTACTAGGGAGTGAAGGGGTGACTGAACAATGAGTTGGCCAAGTGCAATATCCAAATTGCAGGAGATGTAAGATCCAGATCCAGGTGTGCTTTTCATTAATGCTTTTTATTAATGGAAACAAACTTATAAGCTACCATACAGTGTGTAGGTTGGAGAAAAATTGGGATTTCCACACTTACATTAGTTTTCTTCAAATTAGCATGTAACAGCCATCTGAAATGTGTGAATGCCCCTGCAACATTCAGCCATGTGGGTCGTCACTCTGTAGCAAATATCATGACAGTTAGAATAATGGTGTAAGATTCAAGATCTACCATTTTGTAAATGATAGTTAACCTGTCAGCTCACACAGTGCAATGTGTTTAAATGCCAGCCCAAAACAGCCAGACAAAATGTATCACCTTTACAGGTTTGTGAAGAATTTACCAAAATGAACCTGAACTTTTTCACCGTTTAGTCGTTTAAAGATTGACCACAGGATAAAGTGAGAGTTCATCATCCCCTATCGTGTTCTGTCAAAATTTGATCCATAAACTGATTGATGGACTGGGTGTGATTCCACCTCAGGAGGGTTAACATCATGTGTGATCACTGTGACCTTTAGCTACAAAGACCTCTCAGTCCTCTACAAAACATCATCCACTTAAAAGCAACATTTTGACCTATTTTTCCCTAAGGCATCTTAACACTAAAATAATCTTTGTTCTGTTGTTAATCAGTAGATCAGAAAAATGATGCTGAGATAGTCAGCCCACATGAGGTCACCAGTGTCGTAGGGTCAGACACACAGTGCATTACACTTGTGTGCTAACAGGAAGTTTTCTGGCACTGACTGGAATGTTGTTGGAGAAGCAGTTTGGCAAAGATGAGCGGAGGCATTCCTGCAGGTGCGTTGATTAGCTGCTGGTTACTACCAGAAAACAGGTTTTCCTTGCCAGCTTGAAGAGAAACTGGAAGATCATTAATTTGTTTTCGAATATGATTTTAGAGAACAAACTGAGCTAACCTGTGACATGTTGTTGACAATGCTGCAAACATAAAGAACTGACAGAAAAAACTATTTGGTTAGTTTCTCCTGCTCTAGGGAAAACAAATCAATGGACCCGTTTGTAGTCCTTTTTTGTTTTGCCTTTGGGTTTCAGGGAGTAGTTTATGGCAGTGAGATCAAACAGACTTCACCATGTATGTAGACAGTGTTGACACAGGACTTGTATACTTCAGCTGAGGCACTGACCATTTTAGCTCAGTCAGTTGACCAGATTAATTGAAGCTGTCACTTAGTCATTTGACATGAGGCCTTATAAAAGTGCTCAAAGTGCTCAGTAGAAACCTGCATACCAGTGTTTATAGTCATGCATAAACCACATTCAGTGTTTATAATGCACTCTATATCAGTCAGCAGTGTTTCCCACAGAGTTAGATTCTATTTGTGGCGGTAACTGACCGGGGTCAGGGGTGGATGAGCAAGAGTGGGGCAATGAGGGACCGAGTGAATCAATGCGCTGCGCACAGCTCTACAATGAAATTCCATTTTTACCAATTTGAAATAGTAAGACAAAGACTATAAAATCAATATGTGGCGGTCGATGTTGATATTATGGCAGGCCGCCACAAATGAATCAATGTATGGGAAACAATAAGGCGACATTGAGTTAATTAGTCTATCGACATAAAACTAATGTACAACTATTCTAATAATTGGTTTAAGTTCCTCTCCAGACGTGCTACCCAGACTCACATGAGGAGTCTGTTGTGACCAAAACTGGCAACTAGCAGGCATATCAGAACGGTTAGTGTAGTTAGCGTCTTTTATTTGTTTATGTTTGTTAACTTGTAACTTGCAGTGGCTGACACAGTGTTAGTGGTTGTGCTGATGCAAACTCTCGCTCTCTGTACTGACAAGGTTTCGGGTTTCACGTTTCCCCACAAGTTGACTACATTGGTTCCTTAGGTATGTGACATAGGAAACTCTGGCTGTGTGATTTATTTATTTATTTTTTTTATGAGACTGTCATTGGTTCACTGCAGTTCCTAGATGGAAATATGCAATCATGGTGTTGACTGTTTATTTCGAACATGATACGTCTTGTATTATATAAAAAAGATCATGTGGACATATTAACAAGGTTAAAAACATCGAAGGGAGTCTTAAATCATTTAAACTATTTTTCAAGCAAGAATATCAAACCTTCCCTAGTTTCTTACTTATGAGGATATGCTGTTTTTCTTCGTCTTATATGACAATAATTTAATATCTGTAGGATTTCCACTATGGCACAAATAAAACATCCAATTTAAGGTGTCACCCTGAGCTTTAAGAAAGTATGATGAGCAATTTTCCCTATTTTTAGACATTTTATGAATGAATTAATTTGGAATAATTAAATGAGTCGTTGGTTGCTTTAGTCAGAAGTTTTTCCCTGGAGTACTGGGACCTTGTCAGGCCACGCAACTGCCTGCATTTTCCTGGAAAACCTGACCAACATTTTAAATGACAACCTTTCCCAAAGTTTTAACAAAACACTCTTTATTCCACATACTGCGGCTCCCAAATTGCAGACAGCCGCAGACTGTCTTCAGTATGAGCCGCCGCCCGTTTGTTTGTCCTGTGAGGAACATGAAAACAAATGGCAACACTTCTTGGCATCATCGTGTGCCTGTGGGCTCCCTGGAAAGCAGTCTCCATTGTGGCTGAGACTACTTAATGCCGAGTGTGTGTATGTGTGTGTGCGTGTGTGTGTGTTTGGGGCTATTTGTGCTGCTGATCATGTCTATGTGACGCATTTGGTACATCCTGTGGTTGTAAGTAGTTGGATCACTTTACACCCTGTGACCTCCTTTGGAAGTTTATCGCTCTGTTACGGCATTGCCTCATCATGCCCACAGTGGCTAAATAAGGTCCTCTGTGTGGTGGGACTGAGGATCTACAGGAATCCTCACATTGGCCGAGTCTTAACACTTTTTTTCTTTTACCTCAGCATGTCTGGAAATTATATTTTCTTTTCCACACACGTCATTTGCAGAATATCCAGAATATTTGGTTAGAGACTGCGTCCTTTGCTTGAGTGTGTGTTCACTGACACAGAGGGTGAGTTACGAGTCCTACAGGACTGACAGTATGTGGGTTGAATATTAGGAAAACCTGAAATGCGTTGCACTTGATCGAACCGGTACAAAAACAATATGGATGCCTCATAAGCACAGACTTGAACCCATGTCGTCTGTTTTCAGGACAGCCAAAGGAGTTTGGCAACTGTACCGTGTTGTTGTCCTGGCACAAGAGGGATTCTGCAGATTTATGGCTAAACAAGTAAACAAGACATTTGATAATTTCACAGCTTCCCTCTCAAGTTTTAACCACAAACAAGGCAACAAGCTGTAAGTCACTACTACACCAAACCACTAAATAGCTGATAACCCTACCTTCTGTATAACAAAAACGGTTTGTTATTCATTAATTAGTTTGAGAACATAAATCATTCATGCTCAGTGCATGAGCCCCCCCCCTTCCCGAGCTCTGGTTATCCACAGGCCTTCTGCCTAAGGCCACAGCTGTATCTATGGTAACAATGCTGCCTTTGTTCAGTGAGCTGTTTTTTTGATAAGAAGGGATTTAGAAGTATTTCATGCATAAAAAATGAATCTAATCACTATTCCAAAACACTGATGGAAATCTCCGCAGTAAGGGGTCATATGCACAGTATATACTGTAGGTGCAAAGCTCAGGGAAAGCAGAACAACTGTAGCAAAAACTGACTATAAAGAAAAGCTACTGGTGTTTTTTTTATTGTAGGATTCAGTAGTAAATCAGTAGGAGCGCATGTGCACTAAATTGCATGCATGTTGCGTATAATGTTCATACGTGCTCATGTGTGACCACACAGTAGTATGTATAGTATGTGTGTTTATGTATCTGCTGGCATTTGCCTTTATGTTTTAACATAGTATTTCTCCAAAATTCCCTGACTTGATGCATGTTGTCTAATTCAACCTAAACAGCACATCCTCAACTGACCCCTAATGGACCAATTGACCCAACTGTCAACATCATAGACCACAGAAGGGACCACACACACACACACACACAGACACACACACAGACACACACACACACACACACACACACACACACACACACACACACATACACATACACACCTTCTCGGGAAACCCCTTTATATCTCTGCCACTTCCTATCTGTTTTCCTCTTGCCTGATAGATTTAGCACACTACCCCCAGTGGCTTAAATCTTCACCATGGCTATTCATACTTGTGATTGGATTGTACTTAACACCAACTCCAACAGGTTTGGCGTTATTGTGGATAATGTTAAGGAGGAAATAATCCCTGGTCAGTCAGGTAAGGCAGGTTTACACACACATACACACAGACACACACACATTCATGCACTCAAACACTCACTCACACATTCACCGGTCCAAGAGGACTTCCTCATATTGTCCAGCTTGTTGATGCAGGAAATCACTTTGATTGATGTCCCCTCGTTGCTCACACTGAATTAAATGTTGTCTCTTTTAGGGATTTTATTTGCAACTTTTGCATGTGCGTGTGTTTGTGCATGTGTGTCTCAAAGCATTCAGTTGTCTTACCATGGTTATATTATTTCAGGTTAAAGTCAAAGATAACAAACTGCCTGTTTTGGTAGTAGCAAGTTGACATGTTGTTTGAGCTGTTTCATTGCTCAAATGTAAATCTTACCTCTTCCTGAGTTGTTCCCTGGAGAGAAGAAGGTCGGAGCCATTATGCTTCTCTTTCTCTTCACATTTGCAGTGTCTTATATTCTTGAGAAAGACAAAAAAAAAATTCATGATGCCGTCATTTAAAACACACTGCACACACATGAATTTCAAGTGCCATCACTCTGCACTTGTTTATCAGGTATTTCTTGCGAGCCACACAGGATAAACTCAGGTACTTTCCCTCCTTTCCCACTTTGTCCAGATCTAGATGTGAGAACTGATGAGGTCCAAAAGGTTATCATAGACCCTCTGTCATCATAGGTTGGGGATTTCCACTCAAGAAAACAAACATACACACATCCCCACCCCCACTTCAACACCTAAGCACCACCTCTTTCTCTTGCTCTATGAACACACTTCCACACATCGCTGTCAGGTCCTTCCTGTTTTCTGAGATGTCTGCAGCATGCCTGAACGGAAATGAGTGCTCCTGTTTTTATGTTGTGCTGCATTGTGTCAGGCTTCACCTGATGTGATGTGTAGCATCTGCCCACATGTGGAAGGTGTAAATAGATGTGTGCCGTAGCCAAAGCTTGGTTCAGGAACTGATTCACATTAACCGTAAATAGTCAACAGTCATGGAGGAAGTTTGTTTCAGTGGCATGTGGCCTTGGCTGTTACAATAGTATTTCAGGTTGTGCTCTGCTTGTATGCACCTTTCTGGGTAATTTGGCTGGTTCTACTGGCACTTAGAGCAAAATAAACTATGTGTGCAAATCAAGGAGTGTATTACACTGCACGCTTTTGGTGCACAACTTACGCATAGACTGTAAATAAAGATGGACGTAGCCTCCGTGACTGTCACCCATGGATGTGTGAAGAGCCGTTCCGAAGTTCAGAGTGGGCTGGTCCGTTGTCCCCATCTTGCCAGTACCTGACTCTACCGAACTCTTGGCTAATCCAAAAATGGGCAAAGCGGAGGGGCGTGTGTAGAGCTGAGACTTCGGTGCGTGTCGGTTTGTGGCAAGCATACCCTCCACCCACCTGTCACTAAAAGCGGCATGCCCTCAATTATGCAGAACTTTAAGCGTTAATAAAATTTGAACGTGTGAGTTATATATATATATATAAATAAAAATCCCCCCCCCCCCCCCGTAACAGTTAGTCATGAAGGAGAATAGCCGGTAGAGACGCAAAACTTTTTTTACCAGGCTGTGAAATGTTTATTTCTGCTGTAAAGTTGGGCATTTTAACATTGGAGACTATGGGGATTGACTTGCTTTTGAACCTAGCCTCAAGGGGCCATTCGAAGAAGTGCAGTTTTTGGTACTTCCGTGTTGGATTCATTGGTTTTACCTTGATTATGATTAATGAACGATTACTTTTATGCTTATTGGTCTCTCTCAAGTGATTAAGCAAATTGTTGGTGTCACCTGTGGTTGCTATCCATGTTGTATTCATCACTGACTGGTGGTCGTGACTGATAAGACCCAGTCAGCAGGCGAGTCATTGTGTCCAAAATTCTCCATTTCAGCCTGTCCAGACTACAGCGCAACCCCATAGTAGTAGCCAGGTGGATGCCAGGCGTAAGTATAGCTAGTCAAAACTAAAATTTATTAGTGTGGATGTAGCCTGAGGCTCAGTGCTTGCGTTCGTGTCATCCATATTGCCAGCTTCGCCTTGAACGAATGCGGACTAACGTTAGTTGGACGTGGCGGAGGCACGTGACTGAACATGGCATGAGTTGTTTTTTTTTTTTTAAGGGGACAGTTCATGAACGCACTCTTTGGGGGAACTATTAACTGAATTAACTGACATGAGCAAGATGATGTCAGAGAGAGGTTCTAAATGTCGGTTTTGATACTCTTTGTCCAGCTCTAGCATTGGTCATTGGTCATTTTATATCACCTGTTTTTCTTTTGTGTGCAGCTGCAACATGCAGTGTTTTGTGTTAGTGCAGTAAATCATGTTGCTGTCACTCCGCCCAGTATTCACTGTGTGTTTAGCCTGTTCTTGTTTTCACAATTAAAACGTGTTTTCGTTCGAACGATAGTGTATTTTAGATAAGATGCTTTGTGTAGGAAAAGTATGTGGACTTTGAACAAAAGCTTTATGTTAAACAGTCTGTATTGTGCATAAAGACACATTTTACTTTAAACAACCTTGGGTGGGTACATCATTAATAACTTATTTATTAACATTGTTCAAACATTGTTCAAACCCCCAGAAGTTCATTTTAAATTCCAGTTGAGTTTAAAATCTACAAAGAAACCAAATATACCAGGTTTAATTACAGGGAAATTGGTGTGAATTATGCAGAAGACAGCTGTTGTTCCATTCAGTGTAAGGGTTCCACTATAGAAATGATGTGGTATATTGTAATATTGCATTGAATGTAAGCTTGACATACAGTCAGAAAGCTGTAATGGTGATTTTTGCAGCAAGATTTGTGCAGACTGTGTTTTTTCCAAGCTAGTTGTATTTGGATAGGGTGTGAATGATGTAGTGCATCTATTTTTAAGCCTTTTTCAAAAGAAAAGAAAAAAAACTCTGGTTGCCTCCATCTCTCTGTCTGCCTCTCTCTCTCTCTGTCTAAATATAGAGTGTCATCTGCCCACTCATTCAGACAGAGAGGAAGTGGTGTGTGTATGTATCAGCTCCTTCACTGGTTTAACAGTTTATGTTAGAAAGGTAAAAACAGAGTGCAAGTTTATGTTATGTTATTCTGTGAGAGGGCGAGAGTCCGTTTCTGCACACATATGTGCGTGCTCAGCCACTTCTATATATCAATACAGTCCAGCATGTTTTTGTGTTTGTGTTTGCTTGTATCGAAGAGAAACACAATGAAAAGGAAAAGGACACAATCTTTTGAGCAATCATGTACATTACAGACCCTAGATAGAGGACTAAAGATGTAAACAGAGAGATGGAGAGAGGGGGTGGGGGCGGGGGGTAGAGAGATACAGAGTGAATACGCCATAGTCAACCGGAAACTTGTGGTCAAAATGGCAGTGTTCAGCTGCTGAGGCAGCGCTTGTTAACTCGCTGTTTTTGAAAGTGCTGCTTTTCTTAGAGGGATCAAGGCTAAATCCATCACACTAAATCCTTTCATTGTACACATACGGCCTGTGGAATGACCGCCAATGCAGTGTGTGTGTGTGTGTGTCTGTGTGTGTGTGTGTCTGTGTGTCTGTGTGTATGTGAGAGAGAGAGAGAGAGAAATAGCAAGAATGAGAGAAATGGACCTGAAAGAGAATAAAATGCCGTGAGTAGAAGTTGAGAAAAGTGAGGACTTGTCATGAGTCAGAGTCAGAATACCCAAAATAGAAATGAATCCAAATACATTCGGCCTTGAACCAAATAAACACAACTCAAACAGCTCATGACTATTTGACACACTCTAACACAAGCACATCCAAACTCTCTCTCTCTCTTTTAAGCTCCCCCTTGAATGCTACTGACACACACACACAGTGCTTATCCCCGCCGCTACCTGACTCGTACCCGCTCATAAGAGGAAATGCACTCAGCAATGAATCGCCGTCCCCACTTGCCTGTGGCTCACTCTCGCTCTCCCCCTCTCTCACGCACTCGTTCTCATCTCTCACTCTGTCACACACATGTTAGTTTCAGTACAGAGAGCAGTGTGTGTGGATGTAAGAGACTTGCAGGACTGTCGGTACGGAGCAGGGTAAGCGTTTGTGATATTATATTATTACTTTACACCTGTTACACTCTGACTGGTTAAAGTTAGTGCGACATTGATGAGGATGGTTTGGTAGTTTTATTAACTTACAGGTTAAGTTACAGGTGTTAGTTCGGACATATTGATTTAATATAAGAAGTTAACTTACTCATTCCATAAAGCAAAATCATTTGTTTTCAGCCTGTTTCTGTCTTTTTTTTCTGTGACTCCGGGTTCTTAAAAAGTTGTAAAGCTTCTCTGGTGTTTCTTTTGCACTCAGGTTTTGATCCGCTTCATTAGTTATTTATTTGTGCAGAAGCGGCTGCGTAAGGATGATCTAATGGTCCGTGTATTTAGAGTAGAGTTGTTTTTTAAGAAGTTGGCCCCAAAAGGAGCAAAACGTGAAAATAAATCTGCCCCTCTCTGGATTTACAAGAAGAAGCCTGTTTATATACAAATGCTACAGGAAATGCTAAGTGCACTTAAGGATTAGTGTTTGTTGTGGTTTTCACTGTCTCACATTTCATTCATGTTGCAAATATTATTTTTATCATTAAAGAATCTGAAAATAACTAAGAGGTAGATTTGGCCAAATTTCTTGATGAATTTGTGAAGTGTAAGAGGTGACTCAGACCTGTGTGGGACCTGGGATTAAATGAGTGGTTTGAGAGCTGAAGGAAGTTGAAGTTATTTATAGGAACACTTTTTAACACAGTTGAGGAGGGTTAGTGTCGGTCCACTGCACCTTCTTCCACCTGTTGATCATCAGTAGGTGTCAGTAGGTGTGTGTATATATGTGTGTGTGTGTGTGTGTGTGAGTGTGTGTGTGTGTGTAGGTAATTGTGTGGGTAGATTTTGAGCATTGAACTTGTAGCTTTGTCCCTCAGCAGTAATTATACAGGGTTAGGGTTAGAGATGTCAAGTAGACCTGTCAAATACAAAAAGAGAAACCTATCGAGACGCATGCAAGTAGAGGTGCTATTAGCGTTGACAGGTTCCCTGAACAGAGAAGCAAGTTTTAAGTAGCCTCATTCAACTTATCTGTGTAATTTTACACTTTACTGTCAGCAAGCAGTCATAAAAAAAAAGAAAAAAAGAAAACAATTGAGCAATTGCTCACCACATTTACTGAGAGCTGCCATAAGTCGGCTGAGACTGCATTTAACATCGGACATGAGAGAATATGAGTGACATTTCCTCTCTGTGTCTTCTTCCTGATTGCAGTTGATAGACCCACGATGCATGTGAGACATGACCAACAAGGCCCCTTGGGATAACTCGAGCAGAATGTGCAGCATGGAGCCAACAGGTACATACAGCACATAAACTCACACTGTGGTCAGTGATACAAATATGTACATAAAAATGAATTATTTGGTACACAGAGTTGCGTTCACAGACTTTTGGTGACCTCTCTGGCTTTAAAATGTATTTATTCTCTGTCAAACAAGTAGAAAGCATCATCAGTTTTTTCCAGGCCAGTCTGTGTTCATTTTAAAAGACAATTTGATTGTGGGTTTAATTTTTAGCAAAACCTTTTCATATTCAGACTTCAATACCCAACCTCTCGACTTAACTTTCAGCCGGCTGCTCCCCCACAGTTCCAGAGCCAGAACTGTACCGCAGCATCCAGGCTGTGCTGCCCAGGGAAGCTGACAACCAGCAGCCCATAGACTGTTTCAACAAAGGTACAATATAATCTACTACACAACACTGAAGCAAAGTATTAAGATTTTTTTTTTCTTAAAACTCATGTGGTTTTATCGGCTTTTGCTGGAAAATAAGAGATCTTACAAACATTAAACAACTTCACTTGTCTTTATGATAAAGACATTTCACAAAGTGACAACAGCAAAACCACCAACTTCATGGTGTTTATTTTATTGTTCAACTGAAGCCAGGCTGTTAGTGTTAATCATACTTTGGAATATTTATGTCAGCAGTATGAGGGCTGTGCAGTTGTTAGTCATCAGACATATTTTGGATTAGCAGTGTAATGGAGAAAAATGTGACACATTTAGCAAGGTTGTGCTTAGTGCTGTGGAAATCTTACATCTATTAATGGCTGGTCTGCTTCTCTGTGTATACAGGCATGCTGAGATGGACGCTTCATAAGAAGGTTCAAAACAATCCTGCCAACAGCTTATCTCTGGTGTGGGTGCTGATAAAGGAGCTGGAGAAGGTACTCTGCAGTGGTACTGTTGGCACTTAAAAACACTTCTTTTTTTTTTCCTTAAGTTTCCCTTATCAAAAAAATAGCAAACATGCGCCCCCCCCTGTAGGTTTTTTTTTATTTGCTCACTCTTTTCACAGAGGAAGGTAGCTAGATTCACACTAAATTAAATTTTATTGTTGATTGGAATTGAATTTACTTACAATGAACATCATCCATTTACTTTTACTTATACTAAAGTGCAGCAATGCAGAGTCCTCAGTCGGTCTTCTGTCAAGGTCATGCAGGTCGATCCCTGACATAGCGTGTGTTTTCTCTGCAGGCTGAGAGATGGGACTCTCGCAAATGCATCATCCCTCTGCTCCACACTCTCATGTATGCCATCATCCAGGTACAGTATTTCTACCACATTGTTGCACCAGACTTACCTGTTCATACTTTTTAACACTATTAGTTGAATGCATACGTGGGATTTTTATTTATTTATATAAGTTTCCAGGACATTATGAACTTTCTGTCATGTTATTCTATGCCTGAAAATTATGTGTCTATTGCTTCAAGAAATATCAGCATTGTTAGTTCAAATGGAACCGAGTAGGAGAACTTTGTTTTTATTCCAGGAACGAATGTTAACAAGGAAGTGGATACCTGAAATGATGGCATTTAGGCTTGTGCATAGTTTACCCTCATATTTGAACAACAGCGGTGTGATAATTACCAGGAAAATTTTATGTGCCTTTCTCTCCAGTATTAGTTATAATCTGTGTGTGTATGTGTTTATTCATATTCCAGACAGCCTACATTCCAGATGAGCTGTACAAGCGGGTTTACGACTTTTGTAAGAGACTCCTGACCTACCCTCATCCCTATTGCACCGTAGGACTCAGCTACACAAAACAGATAAAAAGTGAACGCTCCATCCCAGGTATCATTCATCTACAGACCAAAGCTGCTCAATAAGTTTCATCCTAAAGCAATTGTTTTTACATTTATTATATATTTTTCTATTGTATTTGCACTCATTGCTATATTGGTCATTTTATGTAGTGACTAGCATTGATGTCCATCTCTGCTGCCGTCCTTTCTCCATCAACAAAAGAAATTAAAGCCTGGTGTTGCTTCGACAACTAGCTAAACACACAACTTGGATGTGGCTCAACAAGCAGGAGATTAGTCATGACAGTGTTATTCATTGACAGGCCTTTTTTCATGATGTTGTGATCGTATGCTGTCATACAGGAGACTAATCATTCCGACGGGTCAATCAAAACATTAATTATCTCTTATTCATACTGTTGCCAGTGAAATTATTTGCTTTGTGTCTTAACCCAGTTCCCAGTAGGAACAACAAAGACAGACCACACATGCTCTGGAATTTTAAAAAATACATCTACCTAACTCTAAGAGAAAAACTACATTCAACCAAACTGAAAACAATGATAGAAGAAATAATGTGAGCCAAACCTAACAAACCTGAATCTGCCCTGCAGGCTCCTGCACCAAGAGGCTGCATGAAAAATGATATTATGCTTGCTTTAATGTTGAATGACCTGTCCATTCATTGCTAATTAATATGTATGATGTCATTAAATGCCAATTTGATCCACAGGTCTGATGTACCAGAGGATGGTCACAGCAGAGCAGAGACTAAAAAATGAGCACTATCCCTTCCAGGAGAGGTAAGTCATAAATTAATAATGTATTCTACATGTGTGAGTGCAATAAAAACTTCAAGAAAGAAATTGAAGATTTGTAAAGGTTTATTTTACTTCCACATACTGCTGCATGTAGTCAAACTGCCTTCCCTGTCAAACACTGAAGTCTGTCATGTAAATCCCTGCAGGGTTTTTGTTTTGGCTGATCCAGAGGTCTTCTCTGGTTCCCTGGGACAAGTCCTGCTGGGTGATATTGAGGCGTCAGCTTCATCTTCAGCTTCAGGTGGATTTCTAAGTCCTCTAGATCTCATGCGCAGTGTGGTCCAACACTCGATCCAGGCTGCTTTGGGATCAGAACAATGCCATGGGTCGAAACTGGCTCAGGCCCTGAAGGTGAGTGAACCTGTACATTACTGTTTGGTTGTGCTCAGTTACTGCCTTCTATTGTCAGTTCTCTAGTTGTCTTCTGTGGTCGCTGCAGTGTACGGCCCTTTATAGCTGTTTTTTGTCACTGTGATTATATTTTGTTGCTTTGTGAGTCTTGTTTTGTTCAGTTGGCCCATTCTACTGTCTGATAAACTCACTAGGTTTTGTGAATTGTGAATGACCAGAATTGTGATAGTGGAGGAAAAACAGTTGCATATCTTCACAATAAATGTCATCAGAATGGATCCATGTCATGTAGTCAATGGTCTGAAGATGTTGTAATATGGCCGGAAATAAAGTTTGCTGATGAATGTACGTACGTACAAATGCCGTGAAGAAAGTGTCGCGTCACGTTGCTTCTCTAGTCTCTTAAAGTCTGTTACAATTTTTTTTTTTTTTTTTCAGTTGATTTCACAATTTTCACATTAAAGTCATGTCTAGATCGTTCTGGGAGAATTTAACTGACTACAAATACTTATCAGAATGACTCATGAGCTTAAGAGTAGCGTTTCTCAGTTTTTGCTCCTGGATTAAAAACAGTTGAGGACACCCTGCCCCACATGTACGTGTCATGTGAAACATCCTGAGCCAAAGCCTGCTATCTGTTGAGCTGCATGGTGGATGTGTCTCCTGGCACTCGTCCTAAAGTAACACCTCAGCAGGACACACACAAAGGCAGACATACGCACACATAACTGGCCCCTCACCTCTTTGCTATTAATACACAGTCTGTATGTATTTATTTTCCTGTGTGTGTGTGTGTTCACCCACATGCGTTTGTGTGTTTCGGGACAGGACATGGGTCAAGACGTTGAGCCGTACTTTCAGGAAGTGTTGGTGACTCTAGAGCAGAGCGTGGAGGAGGGCGGCAGAGGGGAGAGGGGAGCGCTGAGAAGCCGACTTCAGCAGCTGTACAGCGAGATCGTCACTGACACAGTCTCAGGTAGGAGCTCTCTGAAAAGGAAATACAGCAAAGCCATGCAAGGCAAAGTTTCTCTAGGGCAGAACTGTGCTGTCTGAGCCATAAATCAACTTGGAAAAACTTTAGCTAAACGTCAATGAAGGGGGAAAACCACAAGAACTACGGTTACGTCTGGTTATCTTATAGATTAGTCAAGTAGAAAAATATAACAGCAAGAGACAAGATGACGACGTTACTGTGCAGAGACATTTGTGAATCCTACAGGCCTCTCACTCGCTCATACATTGGTTGTAAATATGGAAGTTGTTTTGATTATTGAAACATGTAAAATTAATAATGAGAAATGACATGTTGCAACTAGCAAATTTGATGACACAATTTGTCCTGACTACTCAGCTCAAACTCAGCCTACCTGAGCCGCTGACTTTGCTTCTATCCACCGATTTCTTCCATGGCCAAATTAGTCAAGTCACATGTCTGTATTTTTAAAATTTTCCGGATATCTATTTCCATGACATCCACTTTTTTGCCCGATACTATTGTGTCAGGAACCCATCCGATGAACCTGCTCTGCCCTCATCGCAGCTGGGGGACCGAAGGATGGACATAGGAGTGTTCACATAGAGGAAGTTGTGGGGGTGGGGTGGGTTTGCTTTGTTTTGAGTGTCATTGTGACAGTTTTGGTCTCTTCCTCTCTCTCTTCCTCTGTGTGTATGTGTGTGTGTGTGTGTGTGTGTGTGTGCATTGCAGAGCCATTGTCCAGTGGACCACTGTGTGACTGCCCCCTTCCTAACCCAGAGATGAGCTTCCACCTGTGGACGGAGGATCTGGATATCTGTGAGTGGCTCTCGACACTGTGGGGGGTCTAGAGGAAGTTGTTACTACAAATCATTCAAACTGAGGCTGAAACTGGAATTATTTACTCTAAACTGAACTGAATAAACTGAAGGAATAAAGGAACAATGCACCGCCAATTTCTGTCTTTTCCAACTCATTTTGTTATTTGGTAGCAAAAATATTTTCTGTGGTGATCAAAAGTATCACGAGTAAAAGCTGTTTTTTTTCTGAGAACTGCTATTTTGCTCAGATGTTCAATAATCATTCAGGTAGAAATCTTTTATAAGTAGTCTCATCGGATGATTAGCATGGAACTCAGTACAGCTCAATTGCAGCATGGGGCTTTTGAGAGTCATTCTGAAACGTGTCGGAAATGACTGAAGTTGAAGTATGGCGCAGTATGAAGGTACAAAGATCATTAAAAAGTGAAGTCTAACAATTGGCACTCTGTTACACAGTTACACAAGTTGCACTCAGTTTATCAGAGCTGGACTCACTTAATGTAACAAATTGATTTAAACTGAACAGATTTCATTTGAATCAATGGAGCCGTGAAACTAACTGTGACTAAGACGCACATGTATATATTTGTAGCACTTTCTTTATATTCTCAGAATTGAATATCCAGTAAAGGTGTAAATTATCATAGTTGAACACTCAGCGATTTTCACTTACTCACGTGATGCCCTGCGGTTATACTGTACAATAGCACACACTGTTTGCAGTAAGTACAGGACAGTGATTATTGCTTACGTACGCTGTGCAGTGCTGCATTAACAAGCGTTAAATGTTGAGTGATCACAAGGCAGGCGCTTGCGCACCAACCCTTCACTCCATCCCTTCAGGATTATAAATAGATTCTTCAGATGGAAGCAGTGAAGAAGTCTTTTAATGGGACACAAAGACCTTTTTTCGCTGTTGGGAAAAACTGTCCGTTTTTTGTGTACGCTGTAGCTCCATAACAAAACATTTGCACATAGCAGAAAACTATTTTCTGTCTGGTCAGTCATAAGTCTGCATGGAAAGTATGCATGTGCTTTTGTTCTAAGTCTAGATGAGATATGACAACTGTAAATAAACAGAGAAAGAGGAGCTGAGACAGTTATTGAAAGGAGTAAGAATTGGCCTGTGCTGTGTCTTTGTGTCTCTGAGTGTGAACCTCAGAATACTTGTAAATGATGAATGTTAAAAATGTTGACAGGGCGAGAGTTGGCCAAGTGGTTTCGATCCAGCTCCATGTCGGAGCAGTTCAACCTCAACCAGGAGCAGGAGGACTTTGACCTGGGTGAGTCGCCCAGCGACCTGATGCCGTCTGACATGACTCGCTTCTCCGTCATGTCCAATGATAGTGGCATTGAAAGAGACCTTCCCCCCAGCACGGATCCCTCCCCATCTCTGGACACTCCCAGCATGAGTACATCATGGGAACAATGCAAAAGGTAATACCTATTCTTCTTCTTCTTCTTCTTCTTCTTCTTCTTATTCTTCTTATTCTTCTTATTCTTATTCTTATTCTTATTCTTATTCTTCTCATCATCATTATTATTATTTTGCTTGTATTAAAGGCCCACTGCTGTTTTGTGTAGTTCACTTAATGATTTATTTATTTAAAATTAAAGATTAGAATTAAAGTACTGTGGGTAATCCTTAAGAGCATTTACTGTAGGTCACTTGACTACTCAAGGAAATTCTTACTCAAAGATTCAAGTAATTTGCTGAACTTGAAAACGTCAGCAATGCCTGTCAGGGGATCTTTTACATCACTTGTTTTGGTTTCCATGCTTTACATCATTTAAAAATTATTAGGACCCGGAGCATGACAGTAAACTTTCTCCTTCTCCCAGTGAGCAAGAGTCGGGAAAGCTGTCACGGCGTGGAGGAATCAAGATGAAACCGTCTGTGAAGGACAGCATGGTGCTGATGCAGGATACCCTCGAGGACCATGCAAGCCTCGGAGGAGGAGGTGGAGGGAGGGGAGGAAGAAGAGGGGCGACTCTGCAGAGGCGGGCAGGAAGCAGCACCATGCAGAACCCATTCACTAAACAGCAGAGACACTTTACTGCCAGAATAGTCGTTATGGGGGACGACAGGGTGCTGGGCCGCCTGGCCAAGGCCTACTACTTCTTCAGGTGAGGGGTCCGTCATTTGACACGATGTAATCACAGGATGGATAAGCTGCTTTTGACAGCAGCTGGAGGGTATGGTGGTGGCGGCACTAGCTTTGGGACCTGATATGTTTGTGACTGAGTTGTAAAAATTTATTGCCTCCATTCATTGTTTGCCTCTGCAATCTGTAACTCAACCTTCTGATTTATGATTATGATTTATATCCCTTTATTACACTGTACTGTAGTAGTTTTACAGACATGGTGTCAAGCCAAGTTATAATGCACTGTTTGCATTATAATGACATGAAAAATATTGAAACTAGTGTAACACACAGAATTTATTTTTATATGAAAATTATGGTGTAAATGATTTTGTCACAGTAGGTTAAACTTGTTTTGTTTTGTATTGTATGAAGATTACCATTCAGGTACAACTGGAGAACTATCTAATCACCATCTTACATTCTTTCCTTCTGAACTGGGAAGTTGAACAGTACAGTTCCTTATGTTGAAATCCAAAACCTTTTTGTCAGGATAATCAAACTGCTCCATCAAGCGTGCACACACTTTGTGCTTCTCACGAATCTCTGGTTTGCTTTTGCAGGAAAAGGGAAGCACGGAGGCTTTTTCTTACAATGAAAGTCAACCTCCAGTTTTACTACATCCCTGTTTGCAAGGCTCCAACTCACATCTCCTCTGTCAAGGTAAAGCAGCTTCCTCTTGTCAACAAACCACTGACCTATTGAGTGAAAGTCAACACACTTCTAGAGATAACAAGACAAATGGCCTCTGTTGTAGTAGAGGGTCAGTATGTGGAAAAACCCTGTTACAATGTTGTCATTGTGTGTTTATTTTCAGCGATAATCTGATGATGCTGCATAGAAATGCTCAATAATCAAATAATGAGATTCCAACACATTGAATTTGGCTCCATTTCAACTCCACTGGAGAACAGTTGTTTAGTTATGTCATTAACACAATAGCCGCCATTAAACAAACTTCATGCATAATGAAAATGAAGATGGGATAAAATTATACATTAGATTCTAAAAATATCAGGAGCTTGGCAGTTTTGCTTTAGCATTTTATTGAACATGAAGTTCATGAGTACAAAACCTGAATTCCTTTCCTGGTATGCTATTATAAAACAGCCAGATTCTGTGTAATTTGTGATTATTGTGATTATTTTTCATTCTAATAATCAGTTCGTAGTTATTGTAAGAAAACGTAAAAGGGAGAAAGCATTCCAAAGTGCCTCGTTCCCTCACTGCTGTCGTTTTGCCAGATGTGATGTATGCTTGGTTCCACTTTCATGTTCCTTTTTTGTAGGAAAACCATCCCAGCAATCAGTTCAAGGGGAATCCCTGCACTCTTGGTTCCTACTTGAGCATGGTGGACCCGTGGTACAACTGTAACATCAAGAGTTTAGGCTCCATGATCCCCAAACTGGCTAAGATGGTATGATACAACTCAAAACAAATATATCAATGTTTATGTGTGACTGACTGAGAGAGAAGAACAATTCACACACAACATGGACACCGTGGACACTTGATTCTCTTTAATTTGAATAGTTGAACGCTGTCTTACAGGATGCACTGTGGTGCACCATGTCTTCCAGACATGCTTCGAAAATGTCATCACATCACAAAACCCCATTCAGTCAAGTGGCAACTGTTCTCAGTTTAAATTGAAACACAGGAAGTTGCATAACATCTTTTACTGCGAGCAAAATAAATATGTTGATTTCACCGAAAACCACAGCTTCGGTGAGCCGAAGACATTGTGCTGATTCTGTAAGATTAAAATGGGACAAAACAATAAAATTACTATGAAACTGGAAAAAATACTGTATGCTGACGCGATGATGACTGTGTTACATTTCATTGCTTTAGGTCAGTTCTCTTTATGAGAATTCATGGAAAAGGTTGTTTTGTTCTAGAAAGTGTTGAGCACTCTGGTCCTTCCCTTCATTTTCTCTCAATACTCAACTAGATTGAATGTGATTTCTAATGCAAAGCTCAATGCTGTATTTTTTGGATGGGTTATTTAAATGGCACATAAAGGATGAAGTAAAGTTCAGTAAGTAAAGTAAAGCTCAGCCTTAAACTTTAAGTCACATAAAACTTACACAAGAGTAAACAAAAGAGTAAAAATAAAGCTGAGCTGTTCATAAAATGTAGGCAAATTACCAAGCACTGTTGTATTACCTGACAAGCTGTTGACCTTTTAGTGACTCATTATATTCGGTTGATATAACCCAAGTGTGACCAAAATGACTTTGTGGCTACAACGTCAAGTGGAAAGGTTAATTTTACGTGACTTCTGTCATCCATAGCAACAGGCGAACACAGGGAGGCCAAAAGACCCCTTCATCTCTGATGTCATTTCCTACTATGTCCGTACGGGCCAGCAGCCTGTTTATTTCAGCATCTACTTTGTTAAGGTAATATGATATATTTTATGTATAGATTTTGGTTTCTTAGATGTGAGAGCATTTTTCAAATATCAATTGGTTTTTACATGTTGCTTGTTTCTCTTTAGCTCACATTCACCAGCATGACGAAGGATCCTGTGGAAGATGTGTTCCTCACCAATCTGGAGATGGAGTTTCCTGAGTTCAGACAGATTTCAGCATCAGTTAGAGGTGAATTGGGTATACATTTACATACATTTTTTTATCCAATGTTTCCTTTAATTTTTAATTCATGTAAACAGCTTTGCATGTATGTGCGCGTACACCTGCCTGCCTGTATCTGTGCACAACAAAGTTTAACTACATGCCTGTTTCTCACACAGATAAACCTAGGAAGAGCTCAGGGGAGGTACCTGGAGCTGTTGTCTCGATGAATTACAAAAAGGTACGTTTTTTTTTTTTTTTTTTTAGATCCATTATTTTTTATTATATTACGGTCATGGGGTTATCAGCGTAGTGAAATGTGTTATGAATTATTGGAAGAATTGCTCAGAAATTCTGCGTGTGTGTGTGTGTGGGTGTGTGTGTGTGTGTGTGTGTGTGTGTGTGTGTGTGTGTGTCCAGGTGACATTAAGTGGCCGTGACATTGACAAAGGAATCTCATTTAGGACTTCAGGCTGTCAGATCAATGCTATTCCCTCCAGTGAAGCAGAAGGTTCAGTATTATCTCTAACACACTCAGTATTTCATACTTTTTTTTCATTTTGATATTCTATGATTGTGTCTTACTCTCATGCAATTTTTTTTTCCTCTGCTTTCCTGTCATAGATCTGAACTGTTTGACGCTGACTTTGAATGAGTCTCTAACCAAAACTAAAAACAGCATTGTGGTGAGTCTAAACAGTACCTCTTGCTGAGTTCTTAAATTATCCTCACAAAGATGAATTATGTTAAAACAACTCATAGAATGTAAATGGTTCATATAACAATAATTATTTTTACCCTCTTATCTTTAAATTCTCAGGAGTCGAAGATTCGGACCAGCAACATCAAGATTCGCACTTTGGAGAGTCGATCTTTCACCGTCACACTGGACAGAGATTGTCGCAGGACCTACAGAGATGTGCAGAGGTAAGAGAGACTAGAGAGACCTCAGCTGTACTGTACATGAATTTATTTTTATGCCACTGAGTAAAGGTCGTACTGAAGATTTTGTGTTTCATTAGTTAGAGGAATGATCATTGATAACCATCATTGCCATCAAAGCACCAGTCGATCAACGAGAGCTCCAATTAATTAACGCCTCTCTTGGACACAAGTGTGGCAGCCATGGTGGATTTTAAAGTGGAACCCTACAGTTTGATATTGAAATTGTTCTGTCGGGGTCTTGTATGTGCCACAGCTTGATTTGCAGTTGTTTTTTAAGAAGAGAAATCTGCAAGTACAAGTAGCTTATAAGGTTATTCAAATCTGAAAGTCTTGGTGAATCTGTACAGAAGCTTCTGTGCAACACACACTGATGGCTCTATTTCGAACATGTTTGTGTTGTAGCATCGAGATCGCCCCGTGTCTTGATCCCGGATACTGTGTCCAGAAAACCATGAGGTCCAAATTCAAGGTGGGAGAGGACAAAAACCCGGGACTGAGCAAATACATGAGCAAAGGACTTCCTCTACCAATCAACACATTTGCTGGAATCATCAACTGACAGGATGGAGTAACAGGAACTTGAGAATTAAGACCATCCACACTGTGTTTTGATAGCAGGAATGGTCGTTGCTTCTGTGATAATAGAAGTCCAGCTTGACACAGGAAGAGACAAAATCATATTTGAGTCATACTGAGCTGCTCCTGAAACCAAACAGTTTTAGCTCTGACTGACTGTAAATCAGAAAGCAACAGATACAACACATACTGTGCTGGTGTCAACTCTTGCAGGTGATGAAACAAACAGTCAGCTGCGTTAACAGTAACAGAAACAAAGTTTTATCATACTGCAGGGTATGACTGAACTCTTAACAGTGTTTCGCTTTGCATACTTTAAGACAGTCAGTCAGTATATGCAGATTGGAATAATGCAATAAGAACAATATTGCAAGTGACACTGGAGAGACTGGCAGGGAAAAACAAGTAAGCAAAGATGTGCACATGTATACAGCGAGAGATTTCAGGACTACTGATAATTAGATCACTAGTCGTAACATTATCATTAAAACTTTGCAGGCGGTCTGGAAAATCTGCTTCACAAAGTCACTGCTTAGTGAAGCAGATTTAAAGGGTTGATCGTAAGTTACTTTACTTCATAGATACACTACCTTTGACTGTCTCCTTGACATACAAACGCACTCACACACACACACACACACACACACACACACACACACACACACACACACACACACACACACACACAGTATACACAAAAGAATATTGACACACCCACCTGGCCTGTCAGCTATCAATACATTCAGATTGTTCAAAGACTGGTACGATGACAGCTGACAGTCCACTGATGCCTTTGTCTAAGCTGAATAATTCAAATAACTTTTTATTCCTGTACCTGTTACATATTGTAAGCTGTTATAAAGGTGCAAATGATTGACGTTATCCTTGGGTTTAGTGTTTTGGCTAGAACCACACTATGTTGAGTGCAGAAGCTAGAACCACGGGCAATGTCAGATATTACTACAGAACAGAAGTGGCTTTTATGTTTTACAGTATCAGACAGATTAGGATAATGCACGGGCCAAGCTACAGATAATAGCTGTTAGACTTCAGACTGGTAACTTTCTCTTCAGACCCTCTGTGTACTAACCACAATTGCAAGAGTGGTCTTGTTTCATGCTTGATATTATGCAAGACATAGACGTGAGCTTGGGGACACAAAAACGAAACTTGCACTAATTCCAGTAAACGTCTCACACGTGTCAGCTTTTAGGTGTGAAAATCACATGTCATAAGTATGAAAACTTTCCCATAACACACACTCATATCTAAATTTTAGACGACCATCCATGGAACAGATAAAGGTCTTGGTGTTTTTTGTTTTTTTTTGTACTATATACTTATACTATAAGTACTATATTACACATTCAAAAATAGCTCAGGAGCCTATTTTTGATGCAACCTCTGTGATCAGGGACAATCTCCGGGCCAACAGCTTCAGGAACTGGAAGTGATGTGTTATTGGGCGCATAACATAAAATCATCAGTGTGTGTGTGTGTGTGTGTGTGTGTGTGTGTGAGAGTGAGAGTGAGAGTCAGTGTGTCTCCTGATCTGGCAGGGTAATTTCGTGAGTTGGAAATTCAGTCAGTGTTGCACATTATTTTCATGTTCTGTTATATGTAAAGAGAATGCCATTATAAATCAAAATACAATTGTGTAAATAAATGATTATGTTTTGTAAAAATGGTCTTTGTGTTTTATCATAAACGTGGCAAAAATCTGCTTGAATCAGCGACCCCTGAGCTGACCGAGACTAGGAAGTGTTTTTGCTTTGAAGCACCACAGTGTGCACTCCTGTGCTGTAACTGCGTCCAGTGGCCACCAGATAGCGGTAGTGAGTTACTATCCAAGCAGCTTGGGGATGGGTTACCACAGGGAGCTTCTTGTGCGCTGCTCACACACAGACACCTGCCAGAGCTGCTGGGGACCGCTGGAACATCTTGCTCTCTCTGCCTCTGCAGGTTGGTGACTGACTGGCGATGACTCAGTGAAATACGGCAACAAACTGAGACTGCAAGACCCTCCCCTGTAGTTTTCCTTGCTGTTTACCAGCCGCAGCAACTGGAAGAGGGAAAAGAAGAGAAGAGCTGCTTGTGCTGCTGGACCAATGGAGAAGAAGCGAGGATCTTCTCATCAGTACGGTTCACTGGAGCACACTGAATGGAGCAGAGACACCAACAAACCAGGTTATCTAAACCAACAAACACTGCACTATTATTACTTGTTGATCCATTGACTGACTTTAAAGTCACCTTTCTGTATGTATTTGGAATCTGCAGTAAATGTTCCTAATGTCACTGTGCCTAAAGTTCACATTAATATCAGAAATGTTACTATATTAAGGATTACTATAGTTCTTATAATAGATCTTTTCTACTAGTTTTCCTTATAATTAATAGAACCTAATGGAACCAATCAATGTATTTTTCTAGTTGCAGTACAGGTTAGTAGCTCTTAAATGTCAAGAATCCACAGGTGTCTGTTCTTCTAGGGTGTGTGTGTGTGTGTGTGTGTGTGTGTGTGTCTTGTGTAAGAGTGTTCAAGAGTAAAGTGAGGGTCCATAACAAGCCCATCAAATAATGAAAAATGAGCCATGTGGGACACTGCATCTCAGCATGAGTGTTATAATAATGTTCCTCATAAGTCCACAACTAACAATTGTTTTCATTATCGATAACACATTATTTTCTTGATTCATTGTTTGGTCTATATAATGTCAGAAAATACAGAAAAATGCCCATCACAATCCCTGCAAGCCCATTGTGATGTCTCATTTTCCAAAGATATAAACCAGAGAAAAGCAAGAAGCTGTAAGTGGAGAATGGTTGACTTTTTTGCTGAAAAAATGACATAAACAATTAATTTGTTATCAATATAGTTGCTAATTGATTTTTGTTTTAGCTGTGTTCCTCTACATTAGTGATGATGATTGCTTTCCTATATGATAACGGAGTAAATAAAAAACAATCTATGACGTGCACTGATGTGACCAGTCAGGTGGGAAGTTTCCAAAGCTGTGCAGTGCCTCTGTTAAGCCCTATATCTGTTTTTTTCCTCTACACTGCATGATTTCACTCCTTCCTCTTTTCCTTCCCACCCCTGGTCCACTCATTCTCCTCATCCCTCCTTACTTCTGCCTCTTGGTCTCTAACCTGGCTGATCTGTCTGTCAGTATGCTGTTCTACCTCATTAGGCATAAAGCATATTGTGCCAGTGTAAAAAGATACTTGGAGCTGAAGCAAAGACTGTAAATTGAGCTCATGATGTAATTCACATCTTCAGGGGCTTATATAAAAAGAGGGGCAGGATATGAGAAATGTGAGGTGAAATGAGTGGGGGGAGAAAGAGATGAAAAATGTTAACTGTGAGAGAGTGAGAATGGGGAGGAAGTGTAAAGGAGGGAACATTTCAGAGAGGTGTAGTGATGAGTCATAACTGCTCAGTGGCAGAATAACCTGTCCTAGAGAGCCTCTGCAGCAGAACATGTTGTCTCTAACAATGTTAGAATACACTAAACAACACTTATGACATCATGTTGTAAGTTTTCTTGAAAATAACACATCTGAACCCAGCTCCCAGTTTAAGTCCACTGCATGGGAATTCACAGTCAGTGAAGCTTGCCTATGTTTTTGGCAGGGATACATGTGGTGAATGTATGAACAATAATGTGTGTGTGTGTGTGTGTGTGTGTGTGTGTGTGTGTGTGGTGTGTGTGTGTGTGTGTGTGTGTGTGCCTGCCGGTAATGGCTGAGATGTGATGATGTGTCAGCAGCAGATCCAGTTTTTAAGGCACAACATTTCATCTCTTGTATAAATGAGGTGTTACCGCTCATGAACGATCACAAATGACTTTACATCTGTAATGTAATGAGTATGCAGTGTAAATACAGTGTGCATTTCAAGATAAGAAGACAGAGAGTGGAGGAGTAGCTTTCTTTCGTTGTCGCTTTCTCAAACTCAGATACACACGTTTGTCTTGCTGTACTCGTGAGGACTATATACTTCCTTTTCCCTGACCCTAACCTAACCCTAATTCTAACCTTAACCTTTATACCAAAGTCTTAACCTTCAAACAGTCATTTGAAGTTGTGCACAATATGTCCTCATAATGCAAAAATGTCCTCACAACAATACAAAACCGATTTAGTCCTCACAAAGATAATGATACAAACCAACACACACACAAACACACACACACACGCAATGCAATCTGCCACCAAAGACAGCAACCTGTACATATACTTGATATGTGTACACACTTCTGCACTAGCTTACCCTGGTGTCACTATTTATTCCTTTTTTCTTATTGTAAATCGGCATCAATTCTGATTCATATATTTTGTTTTGGACATGCATTATGCCAATTAAATAAAGCCTCTGTGACTATAGCATGAATCAGACACTTTGCTCTATCTCTGTAAGAATCCCACAGACCTTTTTCACAGCAGAGATTTACTTGTCTTATTATAGCGGAAAAGCACAGGTGGAACTAATTAACAATTATTGCAACATGAGGCAGCAATTAACAGTTATGGGTCACACCTGTGTTTGAGTGTCTGCTGTGTAAAACTTGTTCATCAAGTAACACTATTTGCTTATGGTTTAGGCAACTAAATTCACCTTCAAAGTTAGTTAGGTATAAGGCAAGGTATAGGCAAATAAAACAATTTGATGGAGATTAAATTCGCTGCATCTGGTGAGTTGTTTTGTTATGTATTTTTATTTGCTTTTTATGTTGGAAACAAAAAGTCGCTATTTTATATGGTTGCTTTATCTGAGCTGAGGTTATTTATTTTTCACACTGAAGGTGTAAATGGTTTTGCCAGTTGACCTTCTATGACTGTCAGCCAACAGCATGTTGAATAAATGACTGACATGCTGGGATAAAATGCTTTTATCACTTTCTCAACATGAATCATGAGAAGATTGATGCCACCCCCAGGTCTGTGCATTAATATGATGCTGGAGCAGGGTTGTAGTTCACCTAGTTAAGCGTGAAGACTGAAAGCAGGGGGAAACAGCTAGTGTGGCTCTGTCCAAATATTTAAAAAAAAAAATTACATCAACTGACATCTATAAAGCTCACGATTCACACGTATCTTGTTTTCTTGATTTGAACGAAAACAAAAATGTAAAAAGAGAGATTTTTCTTGGGGGACTTACGTGCTTCTGTGCAGTGTTTCCGCTGGTTGCCTTGCAACCCGGCTGACAACCAGACTCCGAGCTTGGTGTTTGCCAAGAAACTCGATATTTTAACTTTTTCTTGTGTATGGATTCAACAAATGAGATACAATGTCTTAACTAGTGAGCTTTCGATGTGTTGGTTTTGCACAGTGGACAGAGCCAGGCTAGCTGTTTCCCCCCTGCTTTCAGTGCTTATGCTAAGCCAAGCTAATTGCCTCCTGGCTGTAGCTCCATACTTAGGGTACATGAGACATTTTAATCTTCTCATTTTACTCTCAGCAATAAAGTGAATGAGCATATTTCCAGAGATGTACAATTAGGAAGAAGCCACAGATACAACCATTCAAAATTCAGTCTCCACTTTTTTGAACAAGAAACAATATTTTAACTTAATGGTCTTAGAAATCAGGTTTATCTGCAACTTTACTGTGCATTGTATTGTAATTGTACTCTTTCATTAACATTGGTAACATATGATAATCCTATTAACAGTTTAATACTCACTGCAACAGTTCACTTATTGCTTTCTCCTCTAAGGTGTCAAGGTTGTCTTGATGCTACACTGACGTCAGCCAGATTTGTCATAGCGACAGAGTACCGAGTGTTTATGTGAAGATGTCTGTCTGTACGTCAGCATCCTTTTATGTCTGTCACACAAAGCAGACTATAGGTGCAAGCCCCCAAACAAAGCCTTAATGCCAGTCTATGTAAACAGGCAATTATCACCAAGCATGGTTGATGCTTCCCACAGTACTTTTACTCCTACCCTGAAGTCATACAAGCCAAGTCTGGCTTCTCTTCTATTCTGCCTTTGTTCAAGCTGGTGCAGAGGACATGTCTTCACTGTGCTTTGAACCCAGTCAGCTCTACCCTCCCCACGGCTAAATGTGACTCGCATTGAGAAATTACATACTAGAGCTCTACTAAGTAATGGTGTGTATATATAAAGAGGGTTTAAGGGCCACAGGAGGAGCCAGGGACTGTCTGTCAGTGTTGGTACTGGTACCTCCCTGGTTATGTCTGTCTCAGCCCCCATGTGGTGCAGCACTCTGCAGGGAAGTGACAGTTATCCAGGACTACAGTGCTAAATGGAACAATTGAAGAGTAGGCAGATGTGATTATCTTCAATTGTAAAATCGTGACTGAGGACATATTTGGATCTCAGGGTAAATAATCTAATGTATGTATTTTGATGTGCATGTCTAAAAAAACTGCATTTTTTCGAAGGTGGTTGCAGGTGAATATTTGATTCATCCGCTTGCTGGTTTATTAGATTCTAGTGCAAGCTGTTTCTGCTTCTCACAGTTTGAGCAGTTACAGTGTGTGAAATGCCTTGATGTCCTTTCATCACACAAATGGTTCCAGGGACCTTGGGACGGATTCATTAAAAAGTATTACAGAGTTGTTTGGAGCAAGCCCTCACATGGTTGTAAATAGTGGCTGAG